TAATTTAATTATCAATTGTTTTGATTGATTTATATAATTCAATTTATTTGTATCATATTTTTCCTTTTTGTTGTTATTGATGCATATTTGTATTGTATTATTAAGTTAGTTAAAAATAAAAATAACTTTGGTTCCAGGGCTCTAGCAAATGTTTGCCTATTTTCATTTACATAGTAAAAATAGCGCTTGGGGCAGTGGGTGTTTTCCAGGAAATGATGCTTGCTTTCACCTTGCTTCCAACATTCACCTGGCTTCCAAGCCCACTTGGAGGTGCCATTTTGAAATTTTCTTCACACCACTAGTATTTCATAGATCTTCTTCCTGGAATGGTCATATCCAAGATCCCAACCACACAGATACCAGATAGTGAATGGATGCCATCACAGTGATTTGTAGCCTAGTGGATTTTATCTGAATCAGCACTTTGGTAATATATTGGATTTTTTTTTTTTTTTTTTTTTGATGTAAAGCATACTGAACATCACAGAAGGCAGAATCCAAAGAGATACATAAAATACAATAAAAGCACTGTCACGGGACAATTGTTTATTCTCTTTCAATGTGTGTACAGCATTCAACAGAAGTCCCATTGGATTTAAAAGGGGTTAGATTATAAAAGTAGTAAAGATTGGGCCACTGTGCTTTTAACTGACAATCATTTGTTGGAAGGATGACACTGAATTGTATCTGAGCACATTTTATTTATTTATTTATTTACATTGAAGGAGGTGCGGTGACTTGGCAGCTTAATGATGCTGGATGTGACATTCAGAAATGGCTGACACTCTGGAGCTTCGGCCCCAGTACTGTGTGACGGAGTGAACACTTGTCGTTCGCTTCTAGCTTCTGCCCACCCAGCAGTTTGAAAGCAGGTACTACTGTGAGCAGATAAATGGGAAAAGCTAGCTGTGTCTGTGAGGAGAAGAGTTGCTGGTGCTGGACCTGCCCAGAAATGAGGCAAGGTGAGGTGTGATCAGCAGAAGCAGCCCAGCTGAGCCAACAACCCAAATGCCAGCTTGTCTGCATGTGTATGGAGCTAGTTCACCCTTTTCGGTGCACAAACATGAACAGAATGAACAAGCAATTGTTCATTGCTTGAGGCAGCGGCATCCATGGGTGCGGGCCGGCGAGGCCTGCATGTATGTGGTGAGGCGGTGGTGGTGGGCACATGCCAGTGAGGTGGCGGCAGGCGCGGGTGCAGTGAGGTGGTGGCAGTGGTAGTGGCGGGCGCCGCTTGGCGAGTCCAAAACCTCTGAGGCAGGCCGGATAAATGGGCATGGTGGGCCGGATTTGGCCCGCTGGCTAAAGTTTGAGGACCCGTGCTGTATACTCCTCACTATTCAGATCTCATCTGGCATACTGTGACCAGTTTTGGGCACCAAGATTTAAGAAAGATGCAGGAAAATTAGAAAAGGTCCAGAGGAGGGCAACAATAATGATCCAGGGTTTGGAAACACTGTTCTATGAGAAGGAACTGAGAGAACTGGGTATATTAAAGGAAACCAGACACCAGGAAGAATTTCCTCACTGTTAGAGCACTACAACAAGGAAACCTATTGCCTGGGGAGATCATTGGCTCTCTCTCACTGGAGACATTAAAAAGCATCTGGACAGTCATCTAAATGGGATGGTGCAGGAGGTTGGCCTTCTGGACCCTTCCAACTCTGCTATTCTATGATTCTATGACTACTGATTTTCTATCACATTTGTCTCTCTCTTCCCTAGACACCGAAAGTAAGAAGTTTAAGAAAGAAGTTATCTTAACACCGATCACAGTTGGTGCTCCTGAAATAATTTCAGTGTTAGAATGGTTTGCATCTCTGTGTGCGTGTTTTGAAAGTTGTTCCCATCTTTGAAAAGATCAGAATTATGCAAAGTGTTCTATCCCATCATTGCATAACCACAATCTTACCCTACCCCAATTCTTAGGCTGAAAAGGCATGCTATGCATTCCACTTCAGTAGATCACTTTTCCTTTCAAAGTGAGTGTACCCATCTCTGGGATAGCCATGTGCTGTATTAGAAAGTGTGGTCCTTTGTTTGAGGGGCTGTGAGGTCCAAGTCCAGTTTAAAGATAGTGACCCCTAAGAAAGGAGAGCAGAGACTCTGAGGGCCACCCACAGTTCCCACTGAACAGCAGACTGAGCAGGCACATGGGTCATTTGGTCCTTATCTTTTTCTTCTTGCAAGTAGCACAGTTTACAAGATTTGCCTCTTACCTATTTTATCCTCACAGCAACCCTATAAGGAGGATGAGAGTCAATGGCTAAGTCTATGATGCAACAAACTATGGTGATTTGTGCTGAGACAAGAAGCTGGATCTCCTGAGCCCCAAACCCTTAAAACTGTTGTGTTTGCAATAGAAGCAGAACAAAGTTTTTGCCGAGCAAGACATAACCTAAGATTCATTGCCATTTCAAATACAGATGCTAAAACAGCAGCCCATTGGGCAAAATAGGAAGTCCACTGCTCTATTATGTTTAAGACCCAGTGTATCATAGATTTTCACCAGTAATAAGAACTTGAAACCTGAATTCTGGGATGATATATCTGATCAGCCTCTATAAGTACTTCCAGTAGGAAAGGAGATTCTGAATCTGAATGTAGCAGGGCCAACCCTTGACTCTAAGAAATGTTGTAAATGCAAAAATTGCCATTCAGCTTTAACAGGTAATTAAAACTGGCATGCATAATGAAAATGACAAAATTTGCCATCAGCACCCACTAATTGTCCCAAAACAACCTACCCATCCAAGTCAGCTATAAGAACATGTTCTTATCAATTTTTAAAGTCTGGATTTCCTTACAGAGTAAATTGGTTTGAAATGTAATTATGGCATGCTATAGATCATACACCTCTTAAAAAGTTTAACCATGGGAGGATTCTTATTCATTTAGTGTGCCAAGAAGCTAATGCTCTACATTTAGAGAGAGGTTCCTGACATGATAACTCCAAAAATGTCCAAGGTGGAAAATATACATAAAAGACCAAAACTTGGTACTGATCAAAAAGTAGAATCAATGATACAAGATCCTGAAAGCCAATCCTACTTTTTTTAAACTGGAAGTTACTTCCTATTCAAGGATATTTATTACAGGGTGGAACCACTTGCTCCATTTATGAAAAAGAGTGTTATGTTTATATTTATATAAAATATTAATATAGAAACATAGAAACAAAGTGAGTCAGAAGGGGTCTCCTGGGCCATCGAGTCTGACCTCTGGCTCTAGCCAGCTCCGCTCACGACATGCCCACCATGCGCATACAATATGTTATATAACATAACATACAATATGTTGTGTAATATTTGGCAGGAAGAAGTAAAGGAATCCCACTTATATGCAATTCAGAGTATAATACTCATCTTAAGTGCATTGGCCTCAGCACACAAGTCCAACTTTGAAACTGTCCATCCCCTGAAATCTCACTCCTCTTTGAACACAAGTAAGAGCAACTTAATCAGAACTTTCTGAACAAATCCCATGTGTACCAAAAGAGATTGGTCAAGAGAACTTGACCTGCAAAGCTCAGAGAAACAAGGTTCATTTTGCATGCCAGGAAGTACTTCCTGACAGTTAGGATCCTTAGGGTATGGAATGGGCTTCCACAGGAGGTGGTTGAAGCCATCGGGGAAGGTGTTCAAGGATAGGCTGGAAATGCACATGGTGGGCATGGTATGAGCGGAGCTGGCTGGAGTCGGGGGCACACTAGATGGCCCAAGGGGCCATTCCTGACTCGCTCTGTTTCTATGTTTCCAACTTCCTGGTATATTATCAAAGTGCACACTTTCCAGATAAGTGTGCACTTTCAAGATAAATGTGCACACTTTTAAGATACCCTTAAATGGCTTTCTTCCATCAATTAAATTTTAAATAAACATATGAAGTTGTGTTTAACATGAACATAACACAAAGGATGCCGTGGAAAATGATTACTTTTCAGAATATCTTTCCCACCAGAATTCTATTGTAGGAATTAAGAACATTTTGGGATTAATTCATTTTTGGAATTGAATTCAGAAAAGTACTGCTGGTTTTTCTCACTTTGAGAAAAGGCCATAGATTTTGTTGAACAACTAAGTACACCTTTTTTCCTTGAACTGGGGACCTACACTATGTCACCAGTCAAAAGACTCAGCAGGAAGAACCAAGCCCAGATTACCAAAGGATTGCAGTAGAAATGCTACATTTTTTCCTTCACAAATCAAGACTAAGAGCAGAGAGCTGCTTCTCCTGCTCTGATATATACTAAATTCTTATTCTGTTTTCTTTGTGAAGTCAGCACAAATGGCTTACCATGGGTTGGGCATATGGTAGGCCTGACATTTTTCCAAACCTTAGTTTTACAATGCTTTTGTGGACAACATAATTGGGAATATAAGAATGCCTCCGTTTTAAAGCAATTTTCCCTACATGAACCTGTCTGCTAAGCAACTCAGTGCCCGATTCCCACAAAATCTCACGTGCTGCAAAGAACTCTGCAAAACATTCTAGAGCCTACATTCAGTTACAAGGCACTAACTAGGCCTGAAGGCCTCACACTTGCCCATGTAATTTCGGCGCCAGGTGAAGACCTTTTTATTCAAATGTTATTTTAATTGTTAATATTATTTATTCATTTTATTCTTTGGCCAGGGCAACTTAATTTATATTGTTAATTTATATTATTCTATTAAAGTTTATTTATGGTTGTGAGCCGCCCCGAGGCTTCGGCGAATGGGGCGGCATAGAAGTCTCCTAAATAAACAAATAAATAAAAATTAAGAATAAACTATTAATTCAGAGTCAAAATATCCAATATCCTCCCCACGACTGCACATTTTAGGCAGCAGCTGGTGAGCTGCATTTCAAAGGAACTTAGTGGCCATTACAGATCTCACTAAGAAACCCAAGATTTCAGGGGACACTGTTTGAAAACCACTAAACCATTTTTCTATTGCCAATCTGGGGATTTGTGTCTTTTCTCATTAGATGTTTGCTACAAATAAATAAAATAATAATTCAGTCAATTTATTTAATGAATATGTTTCAGAATTAAAATATTAGGGCATATCCTGAATTCTTTATAACAAAACGTTAAGGCACCTTGATAACATTTTATTACTTCTCTCTCGAGGTTTCTTACAGAGTTGACATACACATATGGCAGAAGAAGCAAATAAACTTGTTGTAAAAACAATGATTTACAAACAGACTCACATTAATAATGGAAATACACAAGGCATTTTTATACAAAAGCTTCCAACCAAGTTCAAATGAAATATTTCTTCCCAAACAAGAATAACTTTTTGCATTCATTTCATTGACTCGTTTGTTTCATTACATTCATTTCAACCATAATAATTCTTAAAAGTCATTTCTTGTGAAATCAACAGAACTAATAGCTTTGTACAGAGCTACAGACACCTGCATACAAATGCAAGAATATTACTTCCTTTGAGAATGGGGAACATTAATTTAAACCACTGTTTTCAGAAACAAAATATATGGATATAGCAATCCAGAAAATATCTGGCTCCATATTCATACTGTCAAAGAAAAGCCTACTGTTAAATGCAGGTATTTTATAGTAGGTAACTGCATTCATCAAAGGATGAATAAAAGGATCAATTATAAACAGAATTCTTGGTGCAAATGATCATTCTGGACTATTTTCTTAATACACAAAAGAATACTGCAGAAAAGGGAAGAATCCACATTCAGCATCCCCAAAGTGCAGAATGCGAAACTTATGGAAAACCTGAACCCAAACTGAGCAAATTCCTTTACTCCTCCTCTAACTCTTGTAATAGGTGAACAGGATTACTGATCATGTTTGAAAGGAAGCTTTTTATGTAGTACTGACTATTACTACTGTGTGAAAGATGGGAACAAATGTCATTACTATGACAAAAAAATCTATTAAATTCACTGGCAAATGTTTTGGCAAATATTCTATGTTAATGCTTTAAAATTCATTATGAATGTTTAATGCAATGTTGTCAATGTTATAATATTTGATCACATTATTTTATAATAATATAATCCCAAACTGTTATTGTTTTGCTAGATTTACACAGTTTACATTTTGCTACTTAAATTTTTATTTACTTATAGATAGGATATAACTTAATTTATATAATTCTGATTCATAGAAACTGGATACATTCTGATTTAATCCTTGCTTATTAGGCATATTTTTTAGGAAGTGCTTTCTAACACATGTACTCCTGTGTGATTTTATAGGTTAGTGGATGCTGTGTCCAATGGTTAATGAATGCACAGGATTCAGTAAATATGTTCTCTTGAGATCTTTTTGTTTTCTAATATTTTTCTAAAAGATTCAGTTCTCTTTCTGTGGATTCTGCCTTCTTGCAGAAGGCTGGACCAGTCTTGCTCTTCTCCTTGGTGATCCTGTTGACCCAAAACAAGATGTATGGATGTTAGAACCATAATTACTATATGTATTGTTTCAAAATTAAACCATCTTGTGGCTATCAGGGCAGTGTACAGATGTATGAAAAGTTATCATACAAATGCAATAGCAATAACACCACATCATCAGAAATAAATGTTTCCCTATGGGAAAGCAGTCCACCCTAGCCCCGCGTTCCAAAATATTAAGCTACTATGCAGCTTAAGGAGAAGTCTCTTAATATCTAGGCCTAAAGGAGAATCAGTGGGTGATGGAAGGACTAAGCCAGTCCTGTCCTGAAGATTACAACACAAGCATGGGATGCTCATTTGCACTGCTTTAGTACTCCGTCCATAGTACATCATTGTTTCATTCACTGATAGTATATATTGATCATGGTAGAACTGAAGTTCATAATTTGTGGAAGGAACTTTCCCCATATTTCTGTCATGAATGAACTTGTCTCTAAAGCAAGGGTGGAAAACATGTGCCTCCCCACTCCCTTTTATGGTGCCCAGGCACCATCGCTGCCACTGCCACCATCACCAAATCCTTAATGGCATGTCCTCTCCATGTCCTCCTCAGGATCCTCTCCCTTTCCACTGTTGCTAGCCGTGAGGAAAGAGTGATCTGCATCAGGATCACCAAGGAAGGGCGGGAGAAGAGGCTTTGTACTCACATCCTCACAGACCCTCCTTGCAGATCACAGGGATGTGTGTTTTGATGTGGAAATAGATCAACACAGAGACAGATGTGCACACATGGACATAGCCAATTTAAGCAATTGCCCAACCCTTAATAATCTTTGTCTGACTGCTTGTGCGAGTGACAGTTGAAGTGACATGTGTACAGACACTCCAAGCCAGGTTGTGCATCCCTGTTCTCAACACTTATTCACACAACCAACTTCTATAAGTTAGATTGTGCACAAAAAAACCCCTCAGCTGGTATTGAACTGGAACATATTTACCATTGCAATTAAGAATTAAATTTATTTTACAGGTAAAACTGGTAAGTACCTTGTACCCTTCTGGATGATTGCACTTTCTTTACAGGTGTTTCTAAAAAAGAAAAAGTTTTGCAGTCATACATAATTTATCATAAACATTTGAAATAGAAACATACCTTCACACTTACATTTTGACATGTTTTAAAGCTGAATTACTTTAGTTATACTACATTTTAGATCCTTAGATATGTGTGTATCTTATATGCATTTTGCCATTTCTAATTAATTTGCTGTGCTGTTTGTGTACGATATTTAGTGACAAGAAGTACAATCCACAAAATCCTATTCCCTCCTTATACAACACTAGCGTGTCAAGCAGAAGCACTCTGCAGCCTAGTCTTGTTCTTGACATGCCAGGATTCTTCTCCATCCCAAGGACAGGTATTCCATCACGTGGCCCCCTATCTGCATTCAAAAGCAGTACCACAGATTTGGTAAAGTGTTCGGATACAGACAAGAATATGAAGGACTTCTTTAAACATGTTCATACATTTAGGCATGCCAACTGCTGTCGGGCACATGGCACTAGTTGACCGGTTTGTTGGACCCAGGGCATACTGCTAAAAACAATTAATATAAGGGTACGACCCAGTCAACATGAAGCAGTTTTAAATTACATTGATTTCAACAGATGCTATTTAAGCATGGTTTAGAAAAATAAAATATATTCAGTGAAATGACACTGCACTATGCACTGTATATAAGCATATAGGTATGTACACTGTAGGTATATGTTTATTTCTTCTTTCCAGCAAGTCTTGGGAGGGCTCTAGATAGAACCTGACACCATTCGACCATCTGGTAGAGTCTAATGCAAAGAGATTTACCAACCGGCAGGAGTGGAATACCCCATGCCTCCCTTCCTTTGGAAGCCTCTCCACTCTTTTAAAATGTGACTCAAGAGAATCAGAAGACTTTGCCAAATGGGGAAAGCTGTAATGTTTGTGGGGAGGGGCTATTGCCAAAAATCATTGGGAGGGACCTTCCTTATGTAGAGCCCTTCATCTCATGAAAGATCCCTTCCTCTGTGGAACCATTGTCATGGATCCAACTGGATATCAACAGCCACCTCCCACTTTCTATCTTAACAACTACAGACTCTATAGTTGGATCATCTTGTATGACAAACATTCTAGAGAATTAGAAATCTTCTGTAGTATTTTGTGACCTTTTTGATGGCTTAATAAAGCCATTACTGTGATATTGATTTTTGTATTTTCAACAATTCTTTTGGCTAACACAGTTATGCTTGTTGTGACTCCTAGCTGAGCTGAGCTGAGCTGAGCTGAGCTGAGCTGAGCTGAGCTGAGCTGAGCAGATCAGATCAGAGGAAGCTGGCCCAGCTGTTCTAGGGATGCTTGGATACAAACAACCAAGCTCATAGAAAGCAAGCAATCAGGATGAATGAACAGGGAAAGCTAACGGGAGTTTGGTGGTGAGGTTCAATGGAGGAAGTCCCTAACATTTTTCTTTGTTCTCCTTAGTCCCCCCTCCCCATTTTGTTTTCTTCCTTGTAACACACTCTCATTTACTGGTAGAACTGTGTTGCTAACCATTAGGAAGGGAATACGGGAGAAAGCACTGGTTGTTACAGCAAGCCCAGAAAGCTAGAATAAAAAAGCTAGCAGAAAGAATGGCCCAAGAAAACTCCTCAGTGGTGGTGACCTGCAATGTCTCTACAATTTTTCTTTTCTTGCCTGAGGGCAACATGGCCAACATGTGCAACAAGTGCAAGCTTAGCAACTCAAATAGTTTTCTCTTCAATCCTTCCAGTTCTTGGTAGTGGAATAGATAGGGAAAGAAAAATACTCCAAGTGAATGCCTGACCACAAATGTGGTACCAACATGAGAGATTTGGATTCTGGGACCACGGGCTACACTTTCTGGAAGATAGATCACTGCTTGCACCTTACAAGGACTGGAAAGGATGTGCTTGGCCATAGCATGAAGAAGGTTATCAGGAAGGCTTTAAACTGAATCCTACAGGGCATGGAGGTCATAACTTGCAGGCAATAGGAGATGAATGCCTAAATAATATAAAAGACAAAAGAGCTCTAGTGATGCCCTGAATTAGTCTTCTCAGTAATACAGGAAAGAAGGCGAACCATAAAGAGCATGAGAAACAAATGTAGTAAGCTTGAACTCTTAATGCAGGAAGACAAATGCAAATACAACTTGATAGGTATTACTGAAATTGGTGAGATGACTACCATGAGTGGAATATAGAAGTTGAAGGGTATTACTTTTTCGTAAAGAGCGGAAAAATAGGAAAGGAGGTGGAGCTGCCTTATATCTTAACCATAAGTCAAGTGACCACAGCATACTTGAGAGTTCTTTTCCCAAAAGCAGATCTATGACCACCCTGGCAGAAACGAAGCACAAATTGAAGGGTCCACATGGAAGCTTGAGATTCACAAACAAGTGGCCAATGAACACCTAATTTTTTTTGAATGAGTTCGTATCGCCAGCACCTAATGAAACAAACTGGCACAAAAACTCTCAGAACCACTACCCATTATCTGTAATAAGTCATGGGTGACATGCCAGATGAATGGAAGAGGGCTAATGTTGACCCCACAGAAAGAGCAAAAAAAAAGAGGTTCTTCCCAGGCCATCTAGTTTCACCCCAGGCTCCAGCCAGCTCCACTCATGTAATTTTCAAAATGTGGTTGTCCAATCTTTCCTTAAATACCTTCACTGATGCCCCCCTCCCACAGAAGCCCATTCCATACCCTAGGAATGTGTCACTGTTGCTAGGCAGTTCTCCTCCAGGTAAGGACGCAGCTGATAGAACAGCTGAAGCTGAAGGAAAGTGCTCCTCACCACCGCAATCACTTGGGTTTCCAGGGACAGCTCCAGGTCGAGGAGCACTCCTAAGCTGTGGACCCTGTCCTTTAGAGGGAGTGCAACCCCATCCAGGGCAGGGCCCAAGTCACTTATCCGGAAACCAAAAAAAAACACCTACCAACACTGCCTCACCTGGATTAGTTGAAATGGAGAGGTAGAACTGGATGTCATCAGCATACTGATGACTCTGCAGCCCAAACCTCCTGATGACCTCTCCCAATGGTTTCATGTAGATGTTGAATAGCAAGGGGGACAAAATGGAGCTCTGTGATACTCCATGGCAAAGTTGCCATGGCACAGAGCCAAAGCCTATCCAGGAGGATACCATGGTCGATGGTATCAAAAGCCACTGAGAGGTCCAGGGGAACGAACAGGAATGCACTCCCCCTGTCCCTCTCCCTGCACAGGTCATTGTACAGGGAGACCAAGGCAGATACAGTACTGTAACCATGTGTGAAACCAGATTGAAATGGGTCCAGATAATCAGTTTCATACAAGAGTGCCTGGAGTTGTCCCGCCACCACCCGCTCCAACACCTTGCCCAGAAACGGTATGTTGGCCATCGGTCTGTAATTAGTGACAATCTCTGGATCCAGGGATGCCTTCTTTAGGACAGGCCTGATAACCACCTCCTTTAAAGAAGGGGGCACCCGGACCTCCCTCTTGGATGCAGGACCCAATCCTGTATTTGGCTTTGGTTAGTAGCCATGAAGGGCAAGGGTCAAGTAAGTAGGTGGTGGGACGTACTTGTCCAAGCACCTTCTCCACATCATCAGACCTCCTTAACTAAAATTCATCCAATAATGCTGAACCAGATGGAGTTTTGGACACCTCCCCTAAAGGAAAGGTATCAACTGTGGAGTCCAGCTCGTGATGAATCTGAATGATTTTCTCCTTAAAGTGGTGGGCAAAGTCGTCGCTGCGGGCTGTCAATGGTGACATAGGATCTTTCTTAGGGCCTGGATGCATTAGCCCATGTACCACAGTGGATGGCACTGTGAGGAGGCAATGGAAGTGGAGAAGAATTTCTTCTTCGCCACCCTCACTGCCACAGCCTAGGTTCGATAATGAGCACATAAACATGTTCAGTCAGATTCATCCCATGATTTCCTCCACCTGTGCTCTAGTCATCTGCCAACCCACTTCATTGCCCGTAATTCAGATGTATACCATGGAGATGAGTGGGCTCTGCCTGGCCGGAGAGGACGCTTAGGAGTGATCATGTCAATAGCTCTGGCCATTTCCCCATTCAACCAGAGCATCAACAGGAGCGCCAGCTTTATCAACCGGAAAAATCCTTTAGAGCCCTCAGGAATCCATCTGGATCCATCCGGCTCCAAGGGCAAACCATCATAATGGGGGCTGCACCCTTACAGAGGGAAAGGCCAGCTCCAGGCTCAAACCTCACGAGGAAGTGATCTGACCATGACAAGGGAGTCAGACACAAATTCCTCAATTCCAGATCACCCTCTTCCTGCCCCGTTGAGAAAACCAGGTCCAGAGTGTGACCTCGTTTATGGGTTGGGCCAATGACATGTTGAGACAGCCCCATGGCCATCATGTAAGCCATGAAGTCCTGAGCTGCCCCAGTCAGAACAGTCTCAGCATGGAGATTGAAGTCCTCCAGGACCAACATTCTGGGGGTCCTCAACACCAGGTCCAATACGATCTCCATCAGCTCAGGCAGGGAGTCTGATGAGCAGAAGAGTGCATGGTACACCAGCAGAATCCCTAATCTGTCTCGATAGTCCACCGCCAGGTATAAACACTCTAGGTCTGGTCTCGAGGGGACAGGAAGCCCTGCAAGGAGAATTACAGCTCGATGAACTAGAGCAATCCCCCCTCCCCTCAGGACATGGCTGGTGCTGGATTAGATACCCAGGTGGACACAGCTGAGAGAGGGCTACATCCCCACCCTCTCCTGCCCAGGTCTCTGTAATGCAAGCCAGGTCAGCCCCCTCATCCACAATTAGGTCATGGATGAGGGATGTTTTATTGTGGACTGACCTGGCATTTAGCAGCAGCGCCATCAGACCCGAGGGGTGGTTGATAAAGCTACCCGGAACCTTCCAGTTGGGGGAATAACCAGAAGAGGGGACAGATACCAACCATCTGCCCCTCCTTCTTCTATGATGACGTGTTAATCCCCCAACACCATATCTTCCCTTGCCCAACACCACCCCAATGGTGGTGCCCACGCGCTCCCCAGGAAACCCCATAAAACAACAATAAAACTCAGTTGTGGAATAAATAAAATACAATTAAAATACAATTGAAACCCTCCAACCTACCCCACAACAAAGACACTGAGTTCCTGGCCCACCCCAGCCAGCCCCAGATGGCAACACCCTTAGGCTGTCACCCATCGGCTGCCGGCCCAAAGGCTCTACTGAAATCCAGGTAAACCACATCAACTGCATTTCCTCCATCTAGCCACCTCAAAACCTTTTCATAGAATTCCACAAGGTTTGTCTGGCAGGACCTATTTTTGTGGAAGCCACGTCGTGTGACTGCCAACCCCCCCTACCCCCATTCAAGGATTTCTAGAGCTTTTCCATCATCTTTCCCAGAATGGACCTTAGGTTAACTGGCAAATAATTCCTCTTGTCTCCTCTGCTACCCTTTTTGAAGATTGAAACCACTGACACTATCCTCCAATCCTCCAGTACTTCTCCTGATTTTCACAAGGCCTAAAAAATGAAGGCAAACAGATGCAAGAGTACCTCTGCCAATTCCCAAAGTACCCTTAACATCCAGGGCCCTGAGGAGCAGATAATAAAGCAGTCGGTCTGTAAACACCTTGAAGTCAATGGAGTGATTACTAGAAGCCAGCATGGATTTATCAAGCACAAATCTTGCAAGACTAAAATGATCTCATTTTTTGATCAGGTAAGCTCACTTGTGGACTGTGGGAATGCTGTGGGCATAATATATCTTAATTTCAGCAAAACTTTTGACAAAGCTCCTCATGACATTTTGATCACAAGACTAGGTAAAAGTGAGTTAGATGGAACAATTATCTGGTGGATCCATAGATGGCTATAGAATTGGACTCAGACAGTGCTTCCCAATGGCACCTTCTCAGAATAGTACTGAAGAAATGTTCTTCAACATTTGGATTTATTCATTTGGATGAAGAGGTGCAAGGAATGCTAATCATATTCTCAGATGACACAGAAGTAGATGGGATAACTAATACCCTAGAAGACAGAAACTAAATAATAAGTGATCTTGCTTGCTTTGGATTCCTGGGATGAAAGGGTTAGGATTGGACAAATACCAAGTTTTACAGTTGGAAAAAGAGAACCAAATGCTTGGTTACAAACTGGGAGATATTAGGTTGAACAGGCAAGAAAGATGTCTGTAGATCAGAAGTTGAATATGAGTCAACAATGTGATGTGGTTGCAAAAAACCAAAAAACCCCAAATGCTAAACTGGGCTGCATTTATAGAAGTTGAGCTTCCACATCATGTGAGGTACTGGCTCCTCTCTATTTAGCATGAGTCAGGCTGCAACACTTACACTTTACAGTGTAGGACAGCTAATCCTTTAGAAACTGAAAAAGAAATTGGCCTTCTAGGTGCTGCTGGCACTCACTCATTTCTAATGCACAATTATGAATCAGCTGACTACTGAATGTATATTTTGCACAGCTGGCCTATGGAATATTAAGAAAAAGGGTGCTCTTTGGTATTTCTTCCTCCGTAGCAGGGGAGGACAAATTAGGCCATCCAGATATTTTGTCCTACAACTCCCATTATTTTTCATCATTAGCCATAACAGCTAGGGCTGATGGGATTTTTTCACCCACGTTCTAGTTAGGTCTTGCTTTCATGCATGTACATATATCAAATATAAAGGCATTTTCCTCTTGTCCTGTCAGCATGTGCTCCCCTGCTTTTAACACCTGTTCTTACAATTTTACTAAAGTAAGAGGATATGTGTCCACTCTCAGTCCCTCCCTCTGTGTGTTCTTTATGCACTTCTTAAGCAGGTGAGACTCTTCTGATACATTTTGCCTGAATAGGATTTCACAATCTGGACCAATGAAGAGCAATTTGGCAGTGATCTACTTCACTGGCTTCCAATTGTCACTTAGTCTGTCAAAACAGGTGATGTGGATTCACATCATCTAATACAAGAATAAAATATGTAGCTTGGGCTTAGAAGTCCAAGCTAGAAACAACTATGTCAAAATACTTTTCTTCACTCTTCATACATTTCAGATAGGTCTAATCTATACAAATGGATAAATAAAGATTAATTTCATATACATTGCATTTTAAAGAATACATTTCAGTTTCCCATGGTAATTTATTGCAGAAGAAAAAATTATTGACTTGAAGATCTACCATTCCTGGCAATACAGTGCACTCCACTTATATGATGCAGTGGTTTACTATGTTCAGATGCTATTGAGCAACAAAGCTGGCAACCATATGGTGATAAAGTCCTCATGTATGTCTGGGACTGGGTGCAAAGTAGCACAGATGGATACAGCAGCATAAGAGAAAAGGCAATTACTGCAGATTGGCTCTATTAAATTTGTCATGAGTTGAAAGCCCTTCACACCCTCCCTTTCTCAAACACATGGGATTCTTGCAGTGCCAGAATGACTGCTTTTTAGTACTAAACATTTTTTGAGGATGCTGTGTGGATGAATCATTCCTCAGTTCCAAATAGTCACTCCTCATTTGTACCCAGCTTTTGTGCCATGTAACAGTTTCCTAAGACATTGCCATGCCACATTTGGTGATGGCAGCTGCTGCTGCCACAGCTGCATTGAATACTGTCTTCATGGAAAGCCAATGTGGTAAGCCAATGTTCCCAGGTCATGAGGATATGGGGTTTACTGGGACAGCTATTAAACTGGATATAATTGAGCAATAATTAATGTTATGAATTATTGCTGAAATTTTATAATTTTATTAATTATATATGTTTATTTTTACCTTAATGATTGCCTTAATCTGTTTAATATGTTGCATCTCCTCTCCTCTCCTCTCATTTCATTTTAATTTATTTTCCTTATTTATTTTTATTATCTGCTTACTTATTTTTGTTAAATATTATTGATTTTATTGCTACTATTGGTTGCATTGTAACTGCAGATTTTATTGTATTACTGTACTGATTGTTTTGTAAGTTACCCAGAAAGTCTTATGGCTAATGGGGTGGCATATAAATCAAATGAATAAATTAAAAAATTGGGCCCTGATGCTTCCTGATTTATGAGCTGAAATAAGTTTCCATCAACCTGTTCATATAAAGATAAGTGCACTGTATTCTTCAAGACTATTATAATTGTTAAGGTTCAATACATATAACCTCCAGTCATTTCAAAAGAAAGATGCTAGACATGCCTTAGTAAACTTATGAGCAATTAATTTCATTTTAGTAATGCACAAGATTTCACCATACTTTATATTTGTTAGAGTTCAGAATAAAGTTTAATGAAGCAATAAATCTCCAGTGCTCATCTGAAACCATTTGAAGACTGAATACACACACACAATAATTTTGCACTAATATGGCTCCCGAGTACTCAAAAGTATATATTTCATGCATAATTGTATTAGTTCAGTAGATTTGTTTAACTTAAATTAAATCAGACTTTAAAAAGTTGAGAGGTCAGTTCACAGAGCTCAGTGTGATGAGGTTAGTTATCTTGCTCCCACTAACCTCCCTGGAGGAGTCTTTTGATTTCTTCATCTTCAAGTAAATGATCAGCACCTTCAATGCGTTTGGTCACCTTGGCAACCTCTGATAGGACACATGTTTATGGCATGGAAATGATTCATATTGGATACTGAGAAAATGCAGTTCAAGCTCTTTTAAGAAACACACTGTATAATTACACAAGCCATCTATTACAGTTATAAGCATCAGACTAAACTTCTGGTTGTTCTCATTAAAAGAAAGCAATGGCTGTAGCATGTTGCTAGTATGTAATAATATTCAGTTTCACTTAAGAATTAATGAGGTATATTTTGAATCTGATACAAAACATAAGCAAAGGTAAATGCAGCAAATCATGAATTAACATTCCATGAAGCTTAATAGTAGAATATATGAGTGTCAATATTAAATAATTATACTTTTCTAATATCTGAAGATACATATTTTCCTGAATTTAGGTGCCTTCTCAACATTCATCAGTATGTCTTGTGGATTGAGACATTCACAATATTTAATTGGGAGTCAACAACCAAGGTTAACAAAAAAACGCATTGCACACATTCACTGCAACCCCTCCTCCCCATGCATGTAAGCATTGCGATTCTGGGGAATCTGTTTCCAGTTGCATTTTCTGCACATTGCTGTTATGACTAAATGCTCAGATGTAAAGACTGGCAAACTAAACAGTGTACAATATAGATTTCTGTAGCATGGTTGCTATTAAAATAGTCATTATGGAGCCACAGATATAATGAATCTATCAAGAAAGAATACTAACCTTCGTCCAGCAATTTCTTAAGGGTCTCCTCAGTATCTGCCCTACCACCTGTAGTGATTTGGGTATATTTCAGTTCAGGGCCTGAACAGAAAAAGATTCAGTGAAATGTGTGAAAAATAAAAATCCCTTAAAGTTTAGAATTTCTTTTCTACAATCTTCATTCTTGTGCAGTTAATTCATACAGAAACATCATTTTCTTTATGACTCAAGAGCCATGGAATATGGCTCTACTGGAAGACGTCATATGTCCAGGGGCACTTAAAAGAGAGTGATATGTCTGACAGCTGGTGTGATAGACAAGGAGATCTGAACAAAGAGAGCAGTGAGGTTTATGAAGTGAATTAAAATGTGTCGAAACACAAGTACTCTCATACACTAACAGATGCAGCAGAACAGCACACAAGGGGTGCTAAGATGGCAATGATAAAAGATGTGACTGTACTGTATTTTTCCGTGTATAAGACGATACTTTTTCTTTAAAATATTTACCTAAAAATGGAGGAGCATCTTATGCACAGGGGGCCGAGAGGAGAACCACGGGCACGCTTGGAGGGGCAGACTGGCAGAATCACAGGTGCACGGGGGGGGGGGGAGACTGGCACAATTGCGGGTGTGCACAGAGGGAGGTGGCGAGGCGATGGGCACGTGCGTGGCAGCAACTTGCTCACTTGGAGATCGGTAAGAAAATGGGGGTGTCCTATACATGGGAGCGTCTTATAGACGGAAACATATGGTAATAACATATTTCACATCTTATATAATAAGATAATGAACTTCTTAATCCTATTCTATCTTTTAAGGCATTTCCTCATGAATTCAGGAAAGTTCAGGCTATGAAGAGTGTTTTTATATTGTTGGCAACTAGTCTTAAACATACCAGAATTAGCAGTGGTCTCCATTGGAAAAGGTTAAAAATGTGCTCATTCTTTTCCCCTCCATTTTGGTATAAATTGGAGTTTTTAAAACTGCATCATCATGACATAGTTTACCTTGAATAATTCTTTCTTCTGTTACTTCTCTTTCAGTCACTTCCACAGGATGACCATCAATTATTTTTGTGTATTTTTTAATTATAGGCTCTATAAAACATGTTTGCAAATGTTAGTAATGAACAAGTCCTTAGATTTGTCAGACATCTCCTTAATCAGCCAAAGGATTTAAATTTTATAACATAGTAGAGAGGGTAGGTTTTAGGGTTAGAACCAAGGTTTTCACCGAATGGTTATAAGAAGCATGTAAACAGGCCCATTTTCATTTCCAAGCATGCCAATTGTGTCAAGACCAAATATTGACAACATCATGGTTTTATTTTTTAATTAAAATATATAGACTTAATTTAAAATGTATTGTGTTTTTGATCATAGTTTTTCAGTTTTTGTTCACAACCCAACTGACAACAATATAAAGTTTGTCAAGGCTATGGTGGAGCATGAATGTGTTGTAGTATGAAAACATTAAATGAGCTGGCAAACTGCTGGAGCACATTTCACTGCAGGTCTACAATTTAGGATGCAGCTATGCAAAATATTAAGAAACAGCAAAATTTCAGCATGCAAATGCACTGCATTTTATTTGTTCTATTGGTATTAATAATATGAAGAGACAAATAGCTTAAATATGAAATACTGCAGTGTAATATAGCATTAAAATAATTATAACACATGCTAAAACACAAATCCACAGCTAACATAATTTCTCTAGGCAATTTTGATAATCTCTTCTGCCTTTCAAAAGATCTGAAATTTTAATTTACTCTTCCAAACCCTTCTGGTTAGTAATATAAGCCCATGAGACATATTTACCTCCATGAATCACTTTAGTTACTGTTTCGCCTTCTCTGATCAGCTTAAATTCTGGTTCCCCTTCAGTCACTTTGGTGAGCTTTGTAATGGATGGCACTGGAAAATATTATTTCAAAATTACAAAGCATGTTATAGATATGAAAGTCTATATGAATACTATAAAGTTTTCAAAGTACTTGGGATGAACATACATCTAAAGCGTATATTTTATAAAGGTATGTAAAAATCATCAACTTTGGAGCAAATTTAAGCTTTCTGAGACCAGTATGATAACCTGAAAGTGATGCAAATAATTAGGCTGGGTTGTCAAATTATTCAGTATGAAGAGTAAAAGACATGTGACTGCATTAATATATACAAACAATTGTATAATCAAGCTATATTTATAATTTATATACTAAACCTGTATATAATTATGCAAAGTTTGGTGTTGCTCAGCTGTTCACTCGTGTCTGACTATAAGCGATCCTATGGGTCAACTCTCGGCACACTTTTTGACCCAGTGCCACCTCTTTCAGCTGAACTATGCAAAGTTTTTAAAAACCCCAAATCTTACAAGTCTATGAACTCTGTGTGACTTGGAAAAAGCTGTTCTGCTGTGGAATTTGCAGGCTGGACTGTTAGAAATTTTAACTCATTTTAGTCTGCTGCAGAGTTTGCTGACATCCTTATTGCTAGCAGAACCTTTGAGTGTGGATTCAGAGTGTTGTCATTTCTAATCTGAGTGTGCTGCTTCTTGCTCTCGCTACCACATTTCTGCAGCTATTTTGAATTGAGTGGATGAGCACCTGTCACTTGACTGGATATTCAAATCAAATGGACAGCAGCACTCGGGACTGCATCAGGAACTAGCATAGGTGAAGGTTTCTCTAATCCTAGATCACCCTAACTACAAGAACTCTGTCCTGAGAGGGGACCTTGGAGGTCTTGGCTGGCCCTTGTGAGATTTTTCTGCAGTTTTGATTGAACTTAAGACGCTTAAGAACTATGTTAAGGAGTTTCGGGGACTTCTTTCCTTTGAAAAGGGTTTGATATGTTGGTTCAGCTCATAGCTAGCTATTACTATGAACCAAGAATAGGCAACTTTTCCACCTGTGCCGTAAATAGGTAACTAAAGTAAATAGTTGCTATCTGGACCTCGTAAGCACTTACCTTCAATTTCTTTTCGAATTGTGGTGCCACCAACTACTCTTGTTATTTTTTTAATATCTGTGGTAAACAATGATTAAAACAAATGTGTTGGAAAATTTCAGGTTTTAAAAATACATCTGTGTTCACATGGACTCATAATCCACATATGATTATATGCTTTTAAAAATGCAACAGGTTTAGATAGTTATGGATTAATCTGACCAAATTTCTACGACACTGTAAGTTTGATAATAGTGAATTGCAGAGCAGTCTTTATGTATGCCCGCAAGAAGTAAATTCCAATTCAAAAGTAAATTCCAATGAGTTAAATCTTCTATTGAATTCAATGGCACTTAATCTGTATAACTTATAATTTATTTATGTATTCATGGAAAATGAAAAGTCTCTTCCATGTTTCCACACAGTATTGTGTCAAAATACACTGCATATAGAAATAGAGAGATGGAACCAGATTTAGTCAGACTAAGAACAGAAACACAGAAATCAGTAGGGCTTAAGCAAAGCTAACTGAAGTCCCAATGATTTCAGAAGGGATTAAACCTGTATCCAACCTATGGAATATAACATAGGGGCAGAAAGAACCTTATACCAGTTACTACTCTAAGAATTCAATTTAGAACAAGCCTTACTTTTGTATGAATGACAAGAATATGCCTTTCTTACATTTCCTGGACAAAGTTATCTTACCATCTCACACACTTTGGGACCAAATTTTAAATCAAATGTTTCTGTGATCTTTCAGAGCCTAACCTTATTAAAATCAGTGGCCTATGGAGAGGGGCTGAAATTTGGTTTCTGCAAAAGATTGTGGTTGATTCATCAGTGGTGGGACTGTGAGCAATGTCAAGAAGTCAGTGTGGCTTGGAATGTAAACATTTCTTTCAGTTTCCTTGAAAGTTCTTGCCTATTTGGCCAGAAGGTAGACCTGAAAATATACTTTGAATCATTTTAGATGAAATCTGGCAACAAGCAAGGAAATGAATGGAATTTCACCATTTTAATCTCAGTCTTTTTTCTCTGGCATATTTCCGATATTTTCTGAGGAGAAACCCTTGCATTTGCTTTTAATTTTACTAGCAGTGAAGGAGAACTGTGAAAGTATAAATACTGAATTACCACCCCACCCTGCTGTGAGCCCTCCCTGCTTTGTCCTTCGCCAAATTTATTGAGACTTGCTGGGAAGTCAGAATGAAACCAATTTTACCTTCTTTTCTAAGGATGGGCTCAAAGCTGCTCTCAATTACTTTAGTACTGGGATCCACAACTTTAGTAATAATCCGGGTGGCTGAAAAAGCATAGAAATTGGGAGATAGCAAACACTGATGTAACTTTTTAAAAGCACACCATCCCCCTTTTTAACAGCATTTGGGTGATTTACTGATATTGAATGGGCTTTTGGGAAAACCACAAAAAATGGACTTAAAGTTATGCTCTTGAAAAGCTCAAAATGACTGTACTTTCTATACTAGTGACCACTGCATAACCCTTGTAACAATATTCTCAGTCCCTCCTTGAAGCCTACCAAGCCTGTCCATATGGACTACTAAGGCCCTTCCCCCTACCTTCCCATTCTTCAGAAAACAGGGAAGCCAACTCAAGGAACTGCTTTTTTAGGGCACTTGGAGTATCTTGAAGTGGTAGTTTCCAAAGGCTCCCTTAGCTCTTCAGCTTTCTTGAGAGGAAAGGTGAACGCAGTCTACTTTCTTACCCCAAGGTATTTGGACTTGTAGTAGCTCTAGTGGAGCAGCTCCCACTTCAAGGAGCTACACAGAGAGAGCGGGGATTTTAACCTTCTCCCTCCCCCATGATCTTCTCTCCTTGATCAGCTGATTGGGAAAAAGATATCTGAGTCTTTTTCTGCTGATGTTCAGCTGTCACTTAGTGATCAGCTGTGCAGCATGCTAGGGAGACCATGCAAATTTAAACCATGCAATACCCCTCATCCCCACACTGCTCAGTGGTGACAGCATGAATGGTATGTTCGTCCTGCCACCAGTATGTGGACCCTAACCATTTTCCTCTGAGTAAATGCAGCCCTCAGGAGGGAAAAGCTTTGCTATGCCTGCCCTATAGAAATAGCATCCTACTTGGTGGAAAAAGATGCTCAGTGCCGTTTACATCTAATTACACTGAAATGATTACAATACCCAGTCAGCTATTTGACAATCCTAATTATCCAAGATGACCATTGAGTTCTCCCAACCACCATGTAGTTGCATATAATTATTCAAGTTACTTTTAAAAATGCTTACTGTAAAATGTCAGTGGAATCTCTTTGAATGTGCTACCACGAACATGCTGGAGGGGAAAAGAAGGGTTACATCTAGTGTGTATATGAGAAACTAGAAAATAAAAAAAATGCTGTGTTACAGTTCATCAATGGAAGTAATTCAGTCTCCTGTAGCTTGCCTTGGGATAAACATTGTTTTGATCACACAGTGTGTGTCATGCCAGCAGCCTAACAGGCACAATGCATGATGTTAGAATGACAACATAGCAAGAATATCATCAGAAGTAAGAGTTTGTGTACAGCAGAACCCCATATCCACAGGGATACGTTCCAAGCCTCAAGTGGATATTTGAAACTGTGGATAGTAGCACACACTACACTCTACCTATGATAAAGTTTAATTTATAAATTAGGAACAATAAGACATTAACAACAATAGCTAATAATAAAATAGAACAATTGTAATAATAAAACAAGGTGTTGTTATGTAGTGTTAGGCTGCTATTGATCTTCTGAGAATAAAAAGGACCCACTTTGGGTGATCCTGATTCATCAAGCGATGATGATGTTCATGGTTGGATTTCATTAGCAGATGATGCCGATGGTTGGGGATCCTTGATAGTTGAAGGCTTTTTGTTGAATTCTTTTGGAAGAACATTGTGATTGGAACTAGCTGTTTCTTTTTTCTTTTTTAACTCATCAAAATGTTACTGCTAAGGTTGCAATGCTTTGGTGACATGGATATGTTGGCAACATACAGGTATGTGAGCGGAAGTCACATGGAGATGGGTAGAGACCTGTTCTCCCCTGCAGAGGAAGGCAGGGCGCACTCCAACGGAGCAAAGCTCAGGGAGCCAAGGTTCCATTTGGATGCCAGGAAGCATTTCCTGACAGTTAGGACCCCAAGGGTGTGGAATGGGCTTCCATGGGAGGGGGTTGAGGCCCCATCAGTGCGGGTGTTCAAGGATAGGCTGGATGTGCACATGGTGGGCATGTCGTGAGCGGAGCCGGCTGGTGCCGGAGGTCAGACTAGATGGCCCTTCTGACTCGCTCTGTTTCTATGTTTCTGTGATCATACAGGTTAGTCTAATGCTGTGATCCATCTCAGGATCATGTTCAATAACCTTATCCTTTAAACTCTGCAATTCAAAACACTTCCACAAATTTCTCTAATGTCCACATTGCTGGTTCTTCAATTTCTTCCTCTTCCTCTGTAGATGACTTAACAAGCTTTTCCAGTTCATCATGTAACACTTCTCGATGGTCTTCAGTATGCTCCATCATTTCTTCATTGAGCATGCTGACAAATCCTTCTCCACGTACTTGTTTTGCACTGTCAATTATTTCCCTAACTTCTCCATTGATTCCCAGAAAGCCTTTAAAATCAGGACTTTACTCCATAAATTCTTCCAGCAGGCATTCAGAGTTTCTGGTTTTAATCCATCCACTGCAGTTTTGATGAATGTTATTGTATCAGCAATAACAAATCATTCCAGCACTGCAATATGCCAAGATTAGGGTCAGCATCAATTGCTGATCGAAAGCGATCAAATACCAGGCAGGTGTGTATGACCTTGACACACAAAATGATGACCTGGTTAAGGAGCTGAAGCAATGAAGTTGTATTTGGAAGTAAAAATACAACCTCAGCATTTTCATCTTCACAGCAAACAGATTCAGGATGGCCAGGTGCATTGTCTACAATTAATAGGACTTTAAATGGCAACCCTTTTTGTTCAAAATATTTTTTCAATTCTGGAATGAAGTATTGATGAAACCATGCCAGAAACAAGATAGGTGTCACCCAAGCTTTGGTTACGTTACCAGAAGACAGGCAGATAACTTTTCTTCTTGTTTTTGAGAGCATGTGGTTTCTTTGCTCTGTACATTATGCCTAGCTTTATCATATGACCTGTAGCATTGCTACATAAGGGCAGAGACAGTTTGTCCTTCCACACTTTATGCCCTGGTGCTTGCTTGGCACTTTTATGAATGTAGGGTCTGTCAGACATCTTTTTCCAGAACAGGCCCATTTCATCACAATGGAAGACCATCCAAAGGAGACCATCCAAATCAACCCCTTCAACTCTGCCCAAAATGTGGCAGGAGCTTCTTCATTGGCAGACACAGCATCTCCAGTCAGTTTTACATTTTTCACTCCGAACCTTTTCTTAAATCTGTACAACCATCCCCTACTTGCAGTAAATGGCTTGGTGTCACTCATTTCAGGAGAACCTTTGCTAAAAAGTCATTGTATGGGTTCTGTTTTCTTATGTGATACGTTATTGTCAATTGGAACATGCTTTCTGCTCATATCTTTCATCCATGAATGTATTGCTTTTTACATCTTAACTAAACACTTGTCACACACTGTGGCTATAACTTTTGCAGTATGAAACATAGAAACTGAGCAAGTCAGAAGGGGTCTCCTGGGCCATCTAGTCTAACCCCCGGTTCCAGCTGGCTCCATTCATGGCATGCCCACCATGTGCATGTCTAGTCTATCCTTGAACACCCTCAACGATGGGGCCTCAACCCCCTCCCATGGAAGCCCATTCCACACCCTTGGGATCCTAACTGTCAGGAAGTGTTTAGGATCCCAAGCGGTTAGCACCCTATAAGGTGCAACAGCAACAGTAGCATGAATTTATATTTATTTTTTCACAATCTCACAAGTAGAGGATTCGTTCTACTATACATCTTAGAGACCTCAACATAAATGGTTTCCCTTCCTATAAAATCTTCTCACTTAAGGGATGCATGTTATGGCCTCTCTTTGGCACATCTGATTTGCTGGCATCATTGCTCTCGTGCTTTGGGGCCATTGTTAAACAAATGAGAGTTACTTAAACAGAAGAGAGTTGATTTGATAGCCAAGAGGCTCCTAAGAGCTGGGCAGTGGATATGCTGGGATGCCTGGTGTCCTGAGCTAGACTTTCCAGGCAGTCAAACAGCCTGGCAGGATGGTTCTGCAGTGAAGGCCCCACACACCTCTGCCAGGGCACAATGACGGAGATGTTGTCCGAGTGAGAAGAGACTGCACCACAAGCCTAGAAAGTGCTGGCAACCTGCTTGCTATCCCCCTGCTTCTAAATCTCCTATCAGCCAAGACCAAAACTCAGCTCATCCCTCCTCTGTCCCACTCGCAACAACAGGCTTCTTCCTGGGCACCTATCCCCCCCCGCACCACATGTGCAGCTCCTTCAACCTCAACCACCCACCACATATACCAGGGGTGGCCAGATCAAGGCACTTGCTTGCAGCCCTCAAACATGTGGTATTTACCACTCTGGTCAGCCACAGTTAAGCAAGAATTTGATTGCCGAGTCAGCAGATACGGCAGTTCTACTGTGCGTGCATGCGTGCGAGAGAGAGAGAGAGATATTGGAAATCAATTCGTGCCTCTGACTTAAAAGAAACTGTATGCTGCCAATAATTAAATGTTGTAATAAACATGGAGCTGCCACCAAAATGGCAACTCAATGATGAGTTCTCAAATTCCTTTGTTCAACTTCTAATAAAACTAAGCCTGTTTCTTGAAGGCATTATATTATGCATTTCCCTGATCCTGGAACAGTCAATAATGTATAGGAGAGATGTGAACACATACTGCGGAATAGAAACAGGACAAAGGCTAAGCTAGACAGACAAAATATGGAAATTAAGCATGGAGCAGTTTTCTGCATCTCAGAGTTCAATATAACATTTAGATTTGACTCAGATGAGACACCTCCACTCCCTAAGCAACTTTATTATTTTTGTTTATTTTAGAAGTGCACAATACAGTGATACTTCAGCTCATGAACACCTCAGTTCATGACCAAATTGAGTTGCAAACAGAAATTTAGGGAAAAAAATTCCTTAGGTCGTGAACTCCGCATTGCGCATTGGGTGATGATCGTGGGCAAGCTCAGAGTGGGATGTGGGATGGGTGCAATTGAGGCCATCCCCTCCCACCCAGCACAACCATGATCGTGCCTGTCTTCCCTGCAGGAGCGCGCCCATGATCGCATTCATTTCCTCCCCGAGCGCACCCGCAATCGCGCCTGTCCTCCCGCCAGCATGCCCACGATTGCACCCATCTTCCCTGTGATTAAAAATATTTTTTACAGAATGAATTAACCTTATTTACATTGAACCTTATGGGGAAATTTGACTTGGTTTACAACCAATTTGGGTCATGACCAGAGTCCTGCAACGGGTTAAGTTCGTGAGCCAAGGTACCACTGTATTCCTTAATTCCTTTTAAATTTGCATTGTGGAATAGGAAATAATGTAGTACAGAGCAATTTTCTGGGACTCTGTTACCATCCAGAGAACCATTTTCCCTTTCTTTTCAGTTTGCCTGGAAACATACTGTTTCCATGTATTTGTGTATTTGCTATCCACCTGTGCAAAGAACAGCATAAGGCATTGCTAAGGGCTCCAGGCTGCCATGTCAGATAGGTCCTACTGTCCAGGTTTGCTCTTTCATGTTCAGCAAACACAATCTAGTTAAAGAAAAAGAGTGCAATGGTACAATGTCCATTGTAAAGACAGGCAGGTGTTAGGAAATGAAATCAGTACTTGAATCTCCTCCAAGTTTTCCTTTTCCTTTTCCTTCCCCTCACTGACTTTCTCTGGCTTGGGATATAGTGATGTGTAGCAACATCATGAAAAGACCACATGGAACAGATGATCATCAAAACAAGGTGAAGTTGCTCCGTGGGAGAAGTAGATGTATCCTCTGGATATCTACTGAGTGGTTAATTGTCCCCTCATCTTATTTAAGAGTGACATCCTTATATTCTCTAGGACAAATACATTTTTGGCCTCAGATAAAATGTTGACAGAAGGAAATGAGCCCACCAGTCTGGTCTGAACTTTAGTCTTGATATATCTCAATGTAAAATTAAGCTCTCATACCTTGATCTGAATGTACTTAATCAATTTTTTGAGAATTGTGAGGAGCTCATCATTTCCAACAGGAACATCTGCAAAAACATAGAAAACAAACAGGAAGCTGCTTCAAGCATTTCAGTGGAATGGAAAATTAATTCACACACATATGTACACACAGTTCAATCTCCTGTATTTAAATCCCCTATTTTTCTCCTATTAAGATACCAATCCTAGGTATACCATATTCTAATTTGTTCAAATTTGAAAATTAACCAAATATTGTCCAGGAAGATGGGGGAAGGGGGATTGACAGATGTCAAGTGGGGTGCAGTACACAGTGTAATTATAATATAAATATTGGTCTTTCAAGTACTACTTGAAGTACTATTTTCCGTTTACGTCATGGTCAGATGCTACACAAAACCATCTTCCCTTTTCATTACAGCAGCAAATCTGCGGGATAAACAGTGTACATGAAACATATTAATATATTATAATAATCCAGCACCCACCAGCAGGATACAGGAGCTTGTCTATAACGTGAATTACACCATTAGTTGCCATCAGATCTGGTTCTTTTGATTGCAGTTCATTTACCAGAAGAGTGTTGTTTACCTATGAATAAACTAATAAATATGAGAAGAAGGAAATGCATCTCCATACAGTCAAAGTAAATGCTTTCATAATAATTAACATTTCATGTAGCAAAACTCTCATCATAAGATGAACTTGGAAATTTCTGCAAGGAATTTCAAGGGACACCCACATTTTAATTAAACCAGAATAATTTGATGGTTTTTCCAAATCTTGAACTTTGGAATGCACCCCATTGGGTTATTCAAATACATAATGATCAGACAATTTTAATTTTAAAGACAGCATGACCAATGCTGAACAATGCTTGCCAAAAGACTACTGTCAGTACATACCAATTTCAAGTACAGCTTGCCACCTTGGATAGTTTTCAGAATGTTGGTCACACCAGGTTCAAATCCATTTCCAATGAAAACTCCTCGAATCAAATGATAAAGCAGAATATTTCTGAGAGCATTTTGGTCCCCTGCAGAAGAAAGATAAGGATATAAACACAGTTGGATGAATAATCCACTGAATATAATATCCTGCTTCTAGGGGCAAATGTTGCAGGAACCTTTTTACCTTTAACCATGCAACCCATGAATTCAACTCTGTTTTGCTTTTGCATATCATTCAATAGCAAACCAGACTGAGGTCAATATGAAGAACTTCAGAGACTCTTTCATTTTGAGAAGAGTGCAAATATTGTAACAAATAACGGTGTATCTCTAATAAGATTCACAACTCCATAGAACACAGTAATCTGTGAATTCAGATGGTTTTCTCCTCAATCCTTCAACTTTACAGAAGAGGAAAAGATGGGGGTGGGGGAATAATCCAAGCAAATTCCTGGCTACAATGATGGTGCAGCCATGAGAGATTTTAATTCTGAGACCATGCACTAAGCTTCCTGGAAGACAGCCTACTGGCAACTGATGGATAGCACCTTTCAGAGAAAGCAAAGGATGTACTTGGCCACAGCATGAAGAAGTTTATCAGGAGGGCTTTAAACTGATTTCTACAGGGAAGGAAGATGTACATCTGCGTGCAACATCAATTGACAAAGGCTTATGTACTGCAACAGTGAAAGAAACTCTAGCTGGACTTGTTAGTTGCAAAGCTGGGTCTGACCCATCGTGACCCCACGGACAACATTCCTCCAGGCCTTCCTGTCCTCCACCATCCCCCAGAGTCCACTTAAGCTCACACCAACTGCTTCAGTGACTCCATCTAGCCACCTCATCCTCTGCCTTCCCCTTCTTCTTTTGCCATCTATTGTTCCCAGCATTAGGCTCCTCTCCAGGGAGTCCTTCCTTCTCATTAGGTGGCCAAAGTATTTGAGTTTCATCTTTAGTATCTGGCCTTCTAAAGAGCAGTCTGGGTTGATCTCCTCTAGCACTGACCAGTTTGATCACCTTGCAGTCCAAGGGACTTGCAGGATTCTCCGTCAGCACCACAATTCAAAGGCCTCAATCCTTTGGCGCTCAGCCTTCCTTATGGTCCAGCTTTCACAGCCATACGTTGCAACTGGGAAAATCATAGCCTTGACTATACCTTTTGTCAGCAGGGTGATGTCTCTGCTTGTAGGTATGCTGTCTAGATTTGCCATGGCTTTCCTCCCAAGGAACAAGCATTTTTTAATTTCTTGGCTGCAGTCACCATCTGCGGTGACCTGGGAGCCCAGGGAAATAAAATCTGTCACTACCTCCATTTCTTCCCCATCTATTTGCCAGAACGTGGTAGGAACAGATGCCATGATCTTAGTTTTCTTAATGTTGAGTTTCAAGCCAACTTTTGCGCTCTCCTCCTTCACCTGCATCAAGAGGCTCTTTAGTTCCTCTTCACTTTCTGCCATTAGAGTGGAATCATTTGCATATCTGAAGTTTCTGATATTTCTCCCAGCAATCTTAATTCCAACTGGTGATTCATCTAGCCCTGCCTTTCTCATGATGTGCTCTGCATATGAGTTAAATAGGCAGGGCGACAGTATACAGCCTTGCCGAACTCCTTAGTCTTCCCAAAAATGTAGAAAAAATGCTAGGGAATAATTCATGCAACCTTAGATATCTATACATCAATGCGCAAAGGATGGGAAACAAACAACATGAACTCTTAGTACACAAGGGCAAACATGACCTGATAGGAATAACTGAAACTTATGCCATGAATCCCATGAATGGATTTCAAAAATTTCAGGCTATATTCTTTTCAAAAAGAATAGAAATAACAGAAAAGGAGGTAGAGTTGCACCTTGTTAAAGATGCACATCTCTGAGAAGAAATAGAGGAAGAAAAGACCAGTAATCCCATCAAGTGTATCTGGATTAATATAAATTGAAAAAGGAATCAAAGGAGCATAGCAGTTGGGTTCTATTATTATTCTCTCTCCACCCAGTCAAGGATAGGATAAGGATAAAACTTTCAAAAAATAAATTGGCAGTGTTTCAAGGAGGCATGATGTACTCAGCACCTACTTTGGCTCGGTCTTCTTCCTAAAGAACTACAACCTTCCTGATAAAGGTGTAACATAAGCTGAAGCAGCAAGATGGCAGCCCAGGATTGACAAGATAGGTCAAGGATCTAATTGGGCTAAATGAGTTCAAATCTCCAGGGCCTGATGAACTTCATCCTAGAGTCATAAAAAAGCTAGTGGAAGAACTCTCAGAATCACTATCTATAACCTTTGAGAATTCATGGACGACAGGGGAAGTGACAGATGACTGGAGAAGGGCTAATACTGTCCCTATCTACAGAAAAGAGGGAAAAAAGATGAACCTGCAAACTACTGAAAATCCTGATTAGGAAATTAGCAAAAAGCTGGCTAGACAAGTGCAGTCATTAGGTGGATACACAATTGACTGCAAAATTGGACTCCAAGAGTGCTCCTCAATGGCACATTCCCAAACTGGGGAGAGTGGGGTGCTGCAGGGTTGTGCCCTGGGGCCAGTACTCTTCAGTGTTTGTACTAATGATTTAGATGAGGAAGTACAAGATTAATTAAATTAATCACAAAGCTGAGTGGAATACCAAATACCCTGGAAGACAGAAATAAGATACAGAGTGATCTCGATAGGTTAGAACACTGGGCAGAGAACAACGGAATGAAATTAAATAGGGATAGATGTCAAGTCCTCCTCTTAGGAACAAGACTCCAAACATATCACTGCAAGATGGGGAATGCTTGACTCAACAATACTGCAAGTGAGAAAGATCTTGGGGTTACAACTGCAGAAAGGGCAAATTCTATTTTGAACTGCATTAACAGAAGTATCACTTACAACACATGTGTACTAGTTCCGTTATACTCAGCACAAGTCAGTCCTCACCTGGAGTACTGTGTCCATTTCTGGACACCTAAAGGGTACAGACGAGGTCCTGCCAGATGGACCTTGTGGAATTCTACAACAAGGTTTTGCGGTGGCTAGACAGAGGGGGCACAGTGGATGTGGTTTACCTGGATTTCAGCAAGGCCTTTGACAAAGTGCCCCATGAGCCACTTACTTTTCAAAGTCTCTTTCTCTTGTTCTGTTAAGCCTCTAAAAGCTTCATTAGTTGGAACAAAGAAAGTCCAGTCACCAGGCTGGGACAGAACCTCTTCTAGATCTGCAGCTTTCACGAGACTCAAGAAAGTGCTGAGAAGGAAAACAAGGAACAACACAATAAATTGCCATGATGATATGAACATTTGATAGAATATTAAGATGAGATTGCACATAGGGGAAAGAACGTGCCCTGAAAGGCAGATCCATATGATGAACTCATATCAGTTTGATACCACTGTAACTGTCATGAGAAATGTCATAAGAGTTGCTAAGAATTCTTTTAATAATCAAGCCCTTTCAGAAAATTACTAATTTCAGAATTCCATAGGAAGAAATGATTACTGTTAAACCAGTTTAAGACTGCAATTCTTTCTATACACACTTTCCTGGAATTAAGTCCCATCTTTCAGTCTTAATTAATTAATTAATTTACATATACTTATAGGCCTCCTATGATTGCTGAGGCCTTCTTTAATGAGCAGGTAAGCCAAGCACCCTTGTTTCTTTGTAAGATAGCACGTGAATTAATTCTATTGGAATATTTTAGAGATATGAAACATTTTATGCTTTTAATCTATTGTAGCCTTAGGCAATAGTAAAATGATTCATTGCATGAGTTTTGGGTCAAATCACTGTTTTTTCCCAGCTAACTAGCATTCCACTGCTCTGAGTAAGTGCCATCTACCTACAGCCTGAAATACAGCTGGAGGTAGGAAATGTGTGGCCCTTCAGATGTTTTAGCCTGTACCTCTCATTAACTCTAGCCAATAGTGAAAGATTATGAGAACTGTTGTCCAAAACATCTGGAGGGATATAGATCACTCACCCCTGGTTAAAGCCATGGATAATAGTCAGATAAGGATGGGCCAAGCTTATTTCCCAGTGTTGTGAATAAGTTTCTTCCAAGATTTGTTTAAAACAGCAACAAGAATGCTTAAACAAAAGTAAGTTGTTGAAGGCTACCAGCAATTGGAAAGGGGATTTCCCTCAGGTTCAAATATATTTCCAGTAAGTAAAAAAAGTTCCTGTGGAAGGGACTGAGTGGAGGAGCATTTGGTCTTCCACTACTCTTCGCTCAAAAACAGTCTGCTCAAAATGGCACCCTCCCATCACTGCTTTTAGTTAAAAGAAATGGTGTGGAAAAATTACATGGAAGTCTGTGATATATAAGTTGGTCCTTACAAACGTGTGTGGAGAACCATATTTAATTTTATCCCAGAAAACTGAAGGCTTCATTTTAAAAGACCACCAGCATGTACACACTTGTAGCATTTTCCTGTGTGTTGGAAGTTTCACCTCCTTTTCAAACATTTCTTTTAGTTCTCATCCGAGTTGAGTATTGTTGCATATTTTCAGAACAAATTAGGTACCTTACCTATTTTTGCTGGATGCCCCTGCTGTCCAGGCTATGACCAGAGAATTTTGTGTTTGCTTTTTAAACATTTTCTTTTATTTTCCCACACTGTAAATTTATTCCTTATTAAATCACATTTTACTTTTTGTACTCATGATTGCATCTTAATCTACTCTGAATCTGCTTGAATCTATGCTGCCCAACTGTTTGGTTTATTTTTTACCCCCTTTTTATTTTTTTAAAAAATACAGAAAAAAAACAACATAAATACATAAATACAACCATCATAATAGTATTACACACAAAAACCCAACTAATGAATAAAAAAAGGAAAATAATACAGTGCTGCCACCACCCAAGAGACCAATAATATCTCCATTTTAATTCATATATTGTAACAATTAATAATATATAATATACTTCAATTATATCCATATCCCCTCCAAAAATTCATATAATCTTGAATAGGCTTGCAACCTATACCCTCTATCAATACTGCTTTTACAAAATCTTCCCAAATTTCATTATATTCATTTGCTTTTATTAACCCTTTTTAAATTTGTATTTCTGTTGTCAGTTTGTCATTAATTACCATATTCCATATTTCATTATACAATTAATGCCTTTGCATAACCCAATTCTGTTTCCAATATTTAACTATCACTAACCTAGCTTCCATTATCAAACTTATGATCCATTTTTTCTTAACTTCATTTATATCTTATTTTTCAGTCAACAGCAATAACACAATCCCAACTGTTTGGAAAGGTCCATCGCATAGGGCCTATTTCTATCTGTGTAAGACTGCTCCCCAATATTTTCAGATTTGATTATTTATTTTATAAAAAATGTCCTGATAACACAATTTATCTGTCAGTGTTTGAAGAGGTTTTACACCATCAACAAAAGGTAGAAACATCACTTAAAACCTACTAGGGACCTTAGAATCTCAAAGATGTCTCTAAAATGTGTTTCCATGAAGAAAAAGAATGGAGCAAAAGGAGAACTGTGGAATGAAAAAAAAAAGTTGTCCATACATTCTGAGATGAACATATCACACTGGAATTTTAGTCCATCTCATTGCCTTGATGATGGACTTTCTTCTCCTCCTATTTCACTAACTTTGTAACTGTATATATCATCACTATGGAGAATAAAACACAAATTTATAACTGCTGTGCCCTGACTTACTTCATCACTGGTATTTATAGGCAAGCTCAAGGTTTACTTGGGTGGTGAGAATGCTGAAGTAAATTTTAGAAACAAGTCAGAATTTCAAATTTAGATTTTCAAAAAGCAGGGTTTCAGACATTGAGATCACCTTCATCTCTAAAGGTTAGGGAGGCAAAGAAATTCCCATAGATGCAGTTTTTCTCACAAGTGCAGCATTATAATGGGAATCCTCCCTTCTATGCCATTGTGATGTTATATTTTGTTTAAATCAATTGTTCAGTTTTTGATCATCCAAATCTGAAATATGTGAGATACACACACCAAAACTGGTGATATAACCATCCAGTCAAGAAAAGGTGAGGATGTAATTGTGTTTTTTTATGAATTTTCATTATACAATGTAACCCCCTTGCAAACTCTGAAATGTAAAATTTCAGAATAATTCATGACATCTCCCAATTTCACTGTACAAAAGCCAGTTCTCATGTTTCTGTATAGTTTAGTTTTGATGTGGTTAAAAATCATTACATACCTGAATCGTTTATCAGAACTCAGTATTTCATGCAGAGTTTTTTCTGCCGGTTTGATTATTTCCTTGAAAACATGGATAAATCCATTTCTTCCCTCCTTACTTCCTCGGATCATGCATGCATTCTCAATACACACAGCCTAGCAATGAAAAAGTAAACTCAAACAACATAAAGTGGAAAAATATGCAACACAGATCCTGGATGAAACTTTGTTTCCTTGCATACAATTTACTCAGAAGTAATTTCTACTGTGTTTAGTGGGACTTACTCCAAGCTAAATGGGTGTAGGTCAATGATTTAATAAGGCATATTGCAGTAAGCTTAAATGTGCAAATTTTCAAAATTAATCTGGGGACACTCTATCACCATTTTAAATCATTCCAAAATGTTTTGCTGTCACAAGTATTTCCAAAAAGTTTAGCTTCACTTACTGTACGATACACAAATACTCTGAGCTTCTTCCCTCCCAAAGTCTCCAAGAACTGTCCATTGTAGAGGTCATTCAGGCCAACTTTCACATTCAAAATGTGATTCTTCAGGATGAGTTTGAGGAGCCGCTGGTCCATAGTTAAGGTGTCATCTGAACATTTGGACAGAACATAATGTCAACATTAGGTTTTCTTGTTATTTGACATCCACTGTATCTCATGATAATCTAAAACAGTGAACATGCTATGTTCATGCTATGTTCATAAGAAGAAACATAGAAACAGAGCGAGTCAGAAGGGGCCTCTCAGGCTATCCAGTCTGACCCCTGGCCCCAGCCGGATCCACGCATGACATGCCTACCATGTGCATGTCCAGCCAATTCTTGAAATCCCTCATCAATGGGGCTTCAACCATCTCATGTGGAATCCCAAAAGGTTCTAAAGGGAGTGTGCAAGAGGGGTTCTTCCTTGTCCTACATCATGGCATGTGTTTCTGATGGGACACCTTTAATGATGGCATTAGCAGGCCAGTCTCACCACCCCACATCTTACTGCCTAACTGGACCAAAGAAGTCCTGTGGGTATGCCATGGGCATCTCTGAGGGTAGGGGGAAATGTTCACTCTTTCTTAATCCCATTAAGGCAAACTCTGATCAGTTGGTTCCATTTTCACATGGCTTGCCTGTAGCCTGAGTAAACCAAGTGTGTGTATTGCTTTTTAAAGAACTCCTATCGTTGTCTTTAAAGGTTGTGGTGGAATCAGGTGGCATACCTGTGTGACAGAAAATGAGAGCCTCTCCTCTTATGCAGTGTTAGCACTCATTTGCTCGTTGCTACCAGAGGCTACAAAGACTGGCTCCCTGGGATGCAACCATTTAAGGAGGTCTTTGTATCCCATAATCATCCTGGAAGTGATGTGAGACTGAAAGAGTGGGTTTTATATGCAATAATGTGTTTTTTGCCTACTCACAAAGCTCTCTTAAGGTTTGTATCAATAAACATGTGGTCAACTAAATCTTTTAAGGGGATTTCAGTGTCAATATTTCATTATTTTAAATACTTTCAAAGTCTGTGTAGACCTTCTTGATAGTACTGTACAAAAGGATGAAATATCTTTTATTTTTAATACCACCAATTCTGTTGGCCTACCTACCAGAAAAAGCTCCATTCACGGGAGCTAGCAGGGTATACTCTTCCTCTGGCTTTATAGCTGCAGCCAAACCAAGCTGAGCCACCAAGTCTGTAAAAGTAGCTTGTTGGGGACCAGCCAGTTCAGTAACTTGCTTAGCTGAAATTAAGAAATAAATACAAATGGACAAATGTTAATTTCCCCGCAAAATTCTCATCTTGCAGACAATCTTTTCCACAGCAAGATTCATAGGAGTTGTATTTATCAGTGCAGTCCATATTATTTAAAAATAGAAATAAAGGTCAATCCAGCTGTTGGTCCAATCTAGCAGCCAATCAATATTGAAGTTAATGAATGTAGAGATCACTCATGCATCACTCACCAGAGTCAGGAATAAGCACTTGGTCTACAAGGTGAATTACGCCATTACTTGTCACAATGTCTTTTCTTTTTACCATTTTTACTCCATTGATCGTCAAGCTTTCGCCATCACAGCCAACTTCAACTGTATTGCCTTCTAAGGTTTCAAAGGCAGCCCCACCCATGATAGCTTCAGAACACTGAAGAGTATTCAAAATGTGGAACTTTAGCAGAGCTGAACAGAGAAAAGAACAAGAAGACCCATGTGCTCAGATCAGTCTTGAGAAAACATGTAATTATGTACCACCAATATAATGAAGTGGGGTTTTTTGTTTTACCCACCAGGGAAATCTGTATTAATAAACGTACTTCAAACTATAACAGTACACTCTTTGCTCAGAAATAAGTGTTTACAATGTAGCTGAACTACCCAGTGTATTTAGGATTTCATCTTTTGTAATGGATGTATTGGCACATGCAATTCCCCCTTCATTCTGTTTAAAATACATATGTGCTACTGTGCTGTGAAAAAAATGAAAGAAAAGGCTTTACTTTTTTCTCCTTTATGCAGCATTTATCTATTGCTGAGTGGGGTAACTGACCTAAGATGCCTCCTGTAGCTGGCATAGTATAAAGAAGTTGTCATTACAGGAGCTGCAAGACAGGAGACATTTCGAGTATTTCCTTACCAGTCTTCAGCTAGAACAACCCACTGAGATCAAAACAAAAAGGAATTCATTACAATTAGAGCTAGGCCAAAGAAGGCCTATTCTTACCCTACTAAAACCATTCAGGCTTTTCCAAAGTGTTACTGTTAGATCTTTTATTTTTATCTCGGTTTGATATGCAAATGGATTACCATTTTTAAGTGATTTTAAATAACTTGGGGAGTTTTAAACTGATCTGGATTATTTTGTGTAAGGTATTAAAAGTTTGTCCATGTTTTGGTGCAAATCATAGGTACTAATCTGAGCCTAACCACATACCCGCAAGAGGAAATCTTAATTTTTCTAGGGCAGTTGTACCCATGAAGCCCTGTCTGGCAGCTCCCCAGACTCCCAGCATCTGCAACCATGGAAAAAAACAGGCAAAAAAGAAATGCTCTAAAACCAAAATTGATTGTTTGTACCATGGAGCGGTAACCACGAAGCTGGAAGCAGTGGCTGAACATTCCACATACTTCCTGGGATTTTCTAGGAATAAGTTTCCTACGATTTGTTCTTCACAGCATCCCCCCGCTCCTTTTTTGATGATTTTGTTGGCATGGCTGGAAGTTCCAGAAACTTGCTGCTCTTGTTGCAGCATTTATCTGTGCACTGTATGCATCTGAATGTACCCCAACCCAGAGGACACCCAATGCAGCCGTTGTACTAAAAAAGTCATTTGCCCCTGTTCTAGAGATCGGTGCAGAAGTCCAAGAATATACCCAGGTACTGGTAGAAAGAGAAGCTGTGCATCCCTGGACATTGACTAATCTTGTTTAATTACAACAACTGCACCAAAGCTATCTTGGTTTACTACTAAAGCTGAAGAAGCCAAACAGGCCTATACAATCACACTTAAAGTTTTTAAAGTAGCAGCAAAGTCCTTCTTGCTAGCTGCTCCAGCTCTGTTAGGTCTATTCTGGAAATATGAACCAGGCTTTTAGGGTATCACTCAATTTTTTCACAGTAAGCAACAGGTTTCCCCTAGAAGTTTGAAAGAAAATTTCATTGAATAATGGAATGTCATTTTATCCTCCATTTAAAGGAACCCTGTCTGCTGTCCCCTAGTTGGTCAGCAGGTTCTGAGAAAGACTTTCTCCCTGAAGCCAAAGGGAGACATCTATACAGTGTCAACAATATTTCCTAGGTGAACCAACAGTTTGACTTGCTATACTGCACCTTCCTATGTGCATATGCATGTCTTTCTGCTGATCTCCCAGCTTCTGCAGCAATTTTTCCACAGCTATTGAGGTCCACAAAGCAGTTAAATGTGTATCTTCTGGTGGGCAGAGCCAGTGACACAACTAAAAAAACACTTTCCAGTTCTGCTTTTATTTAAGTGAAAAATAACACTGCTTACTCACATGTATGTCTAATTTAGATGTATTGCTTCTACATTTATAAATGATCCCCAGTGCATAGAAGGCTTTAATTGAGTGGAAAAATTGATGAACTGTGGGAGAGTTGCTATACTAGTAGGAGGGGAGTGTTACTCTGTTTTTATCCTTGCCACCATCACATTTGTTGACCTGTTGAGTCACAACTCCTTTCCTCTCCAGCTTCTCGTCTATGGGATCAAGAATAAAGAAGCTCGGCTCTTTACCAAAGAGGTTTGAATTCAAATTCAAAACCAGGCAAATGTGTGTAAGGAGACTTGTCTCCACCCATTTTCTTTCTTCTTACTTACAATCTCCTTATTTTGACAGAAATTGACAAGGTTTAATGATAGAGGGCAACTCTTAGTGGGGATTCATCGGGATGGCAGTCAGTGATGAGCAGGGTCCCCCATGGCTCAGTCCTGGGACTGATCCTGTTCAATCTTTTCATCGATGACCTGGAAGAGGGAGTGACCAGTCTGCTGATCAAATTCTCAGATGATACTAAAATGGAGGCATTCAATGGGGATACAGGATGACATTCAATGGGGATAAGTGCTAGGTCTTGCACACCATCCTGTTGTCCCCGGCCCACTTCCATGGTCTGGCCAGATCCTTCTGGAGTACCTGTTCCTCAGTTGTGGCCACTGCCCCTGTTTTAGTATATGTGAATTCGATCAGCAAACTGGTCATGCCCCCTTTCAGGTCATTCATGGAAAGCTTGAAGAGGACTGGTCCCAGGAAAGAGCCCTCGGGGACCTTGCTCATCACTGACCACCATCCCATTGATTCCCCACTAACACTTATCCTCTGCTTTCAGTCCATCAACTATGCCCTAATCTATTGGACAGTACATTGGTCTATTCCCAAACTCCTCAATTTCTCAACCAGGACATCATGGGGCACTTTGTCAAAGGCCTTGCTGAAATCCAGGTAAACTACATCCACCCCATCCCCTCTGCCAAGCCACCTCAAAACCTTGTCATACAATTCCACAAGGTTTGTCTGGCAGGACCTGTTTTTGTGGAAGCTGTGTTGCATGGCTGACAACCTCCCTTCCCTATCCAGGGTTTCTAGATCTCTCCTTCTTACGAGTCTATCCATTGTCTTTACCAGAATGGGCTAACTGGCCTGTAATCTCCATGACCCCTCTACTCCTCTTTTTGAAGGCTGGGCCCACTGACATCACCCTCCATTTCTCTGGAACCTCACCCATTCTCCATGAGGTCTCAAAAATAGAGGGCAGAGGACGTGAGAGTACCCTTGTCAACCCCCGAAGTACCCTTGGGTGTAACCTGTCAGGGCCTGGCAACTTTGTAACGTCCAGTGCCCTGAGGAGCTCCTTGACTTCTAGTGCAGGTGACTCTAATCTGTGCCCCTAAAGTCCTGGCTTCACCCGCCCCCCCATGAAAATCTCCCCCATCCTACATTGGGGAGAACACAGAGGCAAAATAGTCATTCAGCATCTGTGCCTGTTCCCTCACACCAATCACTGAATCCCCGTCCTCTTGCTATTTACATGTTGGTAGGAGCCCTTTTTGTTACTCCTGATATTGCTCCCTCCTATGAGTACGTTCTTTTGTCCACTTGCCCCAGTGTCCATTTCCTACAGAGGTTCCTCTTACCACCTCTCTTTGCATCCACAGCAGTGCCCTCCTTTGCCTCTTCACCTTGCTAACTAGTGGCATCATCAAGGCTCGCACTTCCAAGACCTCCCTTTTGAGTGCCATCTACCCCTACTGATCTCCCTTGCCTTCCAGTACCCTCCGCAGGAGACTTTCCCCAGTCTGGCCTTCTATTGACCAAATCTGGCCCTCATGGATTCCCAGCTTCTAGCATTCGACCTGTCGCTCATCACCAATCCCCAAATCTCAAAGCAAAGGATGGACAATCACTCGCATCCAGAGATCCCCTAATCTGCATCTCATTCACCAGGTCCTCCCTGTTGGTCAAAAGCAAGTCAAGGATATTTAACCCCCACCCCCCTGTCACCGCCTGGACCTTCTACATGAAAAATCCTCCCTCCATAGCATCTAGAAAGTGATGTGACTGGGCTGTTGCCAGCAAATGAGTCTCCCAGCTAATATCTGGGAGACTGAAATCTCCCATAATTATTGCATCCCTCCCCTGGGATAGCCTTTCAATCTGATCTATCAGGGTATCGTCCAGGGTCTCAAGTTCACTTGGTGGACAATAGCATGCCCCCACTATCAGGTCCCTGCCCTCATCAAGACCCTTCAGTTTTACCCAGACGGCCTCTCCCAGATCCCCATCTGCACCACTCTCTATCTAATTGCATACTGTCCCTTCCTTGACATGCAACAACCCCTCCCCTCTTTCCCTTCCTGTCCCCCTCTATGTTTGCATTCCAATAATGCCTTTCATCCTGCCATATTTCCCATCAGGTCATACCCTCCTATTCCCAGGAGAGCCACAAGCTCTTCCTGCCTGTTTCCCATGGTCCTAGCATTGGTATACATGCATCTCAGCTTCTTCCCAAGAACCTTGGCTTCCTCCTTCCTCCCTGAATATAAGCAACAATCCATGATAAAACATTTTCTTTTTTTAATCCTGCATTTATTTTACTGAAATACCTTCAGAAGCCACCTTGTCACCCATGATTCTTTCCAAGACTCCACGTGGTAGTTTCTCAAATGCTTCATTTGTAGGGGCAAAGAGTGTGTAATGTCCAGGCTTCCCAAGCATTTCCATTACATCCGATGTAAAAGCAGCAGCCTAAGCAAGCAATGGGGGACACTTATTAGAACATCTGGCTACACACTGACATGGAAGGTATAGAGAGGCACTTTTGTTAATATTAAGAGCTAAGTACAGTAACAACTGACTATTCTGAAATTAAAAGTAATGAATTGTACCTTATCATAGTCTTTTTTATTTTTGCATTTTTCTTAGACAACAGATTGGGGCAACCCTTTCTGCAACACATGTAACAGTACCTATTTCTTCTTCCAAAGTGCATCTTAGGATAAAATTACAACTCTATCTACCATCTGTCTTTCTATCTATCCATCTGTCATTTATCTGTCTATGCAGTCTGGAATCCTATGCTTATCAATTCAAAAGTAAGTCCCTTTGAGCTCAGTGGGGCTTACTTTTGAGTAGACATGCATAGAATTGAACTTATATTTAGATGCAGGAACCTGTATGCCTACATCATAAAGAAGCTCTCAGCCTCATGATGTGCAAATAATAATAATTAATAATACTTAATAAACAGCTAAGCACCCGACCCCAAATACCTGCGATATGAAGTGCACATATTTCCCTGTTAACTAATCTTACAGGAAAAACCACCTCCTGAAATGTCCCTACATCCCAGATGTTTCAATTTGTACTTCATTTCATTTCAGTCTAGAAGTGAATGCACTATTTCTTCAGTGAGTTAAATTAGGTTACAAGAGGAACTCTCCAAATGCGGAAATGGAGGATGGAAGTGTGGACTTTCTGGTCCTGTTCAGGGAGACAAAATGCTTGCAGTCATGGGTTGGAAGGGGCCTTTTAGGCATCGAATCCAATCTAGTCTAACACAACAGTTTCATTGTCTGAGTGTTCTGATGTTGATATGCAGAGGGTGCTAAAACGAAACAGTATGTCTAGTAGCAGTTCAGAAAGTCCCTTTGGGCAAAATATGTCAGTAACCCTGGTCAGTGAGAATATAACTCAAGAAACAGGTTTGATTCTTTGTTTTTTCCCCCATGCTCAATTTTTGTTGTTCAAAATTTAGACTCAAATTTTCCAGTGTGGTCCATGTAATGATAAAATCATGCTTTTCCCAGATTTCACACAGGACAAATCTAATCAGAGAAGGAAGCTTGAGGAAGCTCGATGCATGGCCAGAAATCTTAATCTGAAATTCTACAGAACTGATCCTGAGTGTTTGTAGTAGATTTCCAAGATGAATTGAAGATGTAGTGATCCTGAGAAGCTGCAGAATCTATCTTTATGAGTATTTGAGTTAACTGCTCTGCTCAGAAATTGTCTTCAGATCTTACAGCTCCTGCTACAGCTTTTGTTTAATTCTACTGTCCACTTTCCACAAATTGATTGGAACCTCCACACGTTCCAACATGGCTTACATATTTAACAAGATAAAGTTCAGGCATTTTGCCATCTTCCTTCTTCCTCTGCTAGGTTTTGTTTACTACTTGCTCTCTCCCCCTCCCTCTTAAATGTTTTTCTTGACTAGCTTGGCCGTGTTAAGGTTAATAGTATTTCTGGTCTGAATAATCAGTGACATAATTGATGATTGCATAAGGGCAGAGTATGATGGGCTGTGCTGTTGTCTTGTGGGAGCCAAAAAGTTTATTTTTTCTTGCTGTGAGCTAGAAAGTTTCTACTGATTTTGATTTTTTTCCTTTTTGATAGGTTTCCTTATTAATCTTTTCTTTCAAACTGTAGCATTTTAGTTACTTTTTTCCACTGTAAGGGTGTAAGGCACCACGATGACACTGTGACAGTATCTATAACATATGTTTTGAATTACTCTGTGACAGATCATTCTTGTACCAAAAATAAGATTTATAAGGATACAATAACAAACAATATATACATAATAATTCTATATCTGAAATGACTTCTTGTAATTTCAAGGGACAGCAGAATCCAATTAAACAGAAGGTACTTTCCATACTAAAGGGATATGGCACTGATATGTGAATGTGTTCTTTAGAAATGCATCTAACTGTCAGCAGAAACATATTGCCTGCCAAGCAAATGGGTGGAAGAGGTCTATGCAACAGACACTTTGACCAAGTTTAAGGAGGTAGTGATCTTAATCTAGCTATATGGATCTCTCTCTCTCTCTCTTCCTCTGTGTGCATGCGTGTGTGTTTTCAATACAACAAACTAACTATTATTGATCCCAATGGTTGGTTTTTCATTCTGGTTGGAAAATGCAATGAGAAAGTAATGATTTTCATTATTGTGTATGGGTCTAATAATGGCTGTCCAGCCAAGTTTCATGAATGCTTTAGCAGATTGTTTACATGAGACCCTAACAGGCAAGCAATTGGTTTCTAAATTAAATTGAGTCTCATATCTCCTATGAATATCTTCAAAAAGGATGCAACTTTCAGTCAAAACAGTGGATTTTGACTTCCTAACCTTTCCTTATACCATCAGGCATATTTCCTGACTTGCACTAGATTTTGATCTTTGCTACTTAGAGTAGATTCGTCTCCCTGGTCAGCTTTAGAATCTTCCTTTCTAGACCCACTTCCCAAGTGAATTTCATTGGGCTCTTGTCACACCAAAATAGATAAAGTAGTTGCAGCTGTTCTGGGTGGTGGTAAGGTGAGTTCAGCAGGGACTCCTCCTGAGAAGATCCAATTAAATGCTCTCCTGCCCTCTGCTATGATCATAGTGTAATAATGCCTGGGATGGGGATCATTGTAATGTCTCAAACATGCTGCAGGAACTGTAGAAAGAAAGGGCTGGGAACCACCCTGGCAGTGGGGGGATGCTTCTCTCTCCCTCTACCAGGCACAGAAGTGATACCAAGAAGCATCCACTACCCCTCCACTTAACAAGCAGCTTGTCAAGTGGAGTGGGGTGCTTTCTTGCTGCTTAGTCAATGTTCTGCCCAACAGAACAATGCCACAAGCAAGCTTTGGGGTAGGCTGCCTCACACTGGGCTTTGAAACTCACTGCAAGGCTGTTCCCCACTCCAGGTTCCTTGTCTCACACAAAGCAATCCTCTTCTTCTGACATATATAAAATTGATTTCCTGGCATTTTGCTTGAAATCCCATCTGTTTAGTATTCAATTATAAATATAAAGTCTGGGTCAGATTTTAGAGAGCAAGAATTTGAAACTACTTGAGTAACTAGAAATTTCTAAGTTTTCAGTATATAAATTAACATAAATTGTATATGATCACCTACAATTTTGAAAAAGGGGCCTCACAAAGAAAAGGATTCTTCAAGTGAATCCTCCTTTCAAGGATCATTGTGCAGTTTCCTTGAAAGTACTTTTTAACTTTGTGAATCTTGCGCCAAGACAAATGCTTTCCTAACACTGATTCCAATTTGCAGGTACATTCTCCCTCTTATCACTGAATAGATCCTGCTTCTCTAAGACCAAGTTTAACAAGTTTACATCTCTTAGGATATTTAAGAGGAAGGTGGAGGTCTATCTTGCTCTACCTTAAGAGAAAGCTGTTATGGTCCATATAATGAAGATAGAAAGGCTTTTTAACTAAAAATGAGACAATGTATTCAGCCCAAAATATTTTACCTCTGAAGAGACAAGAATAGAAAATTCTGAAAATCTGGAGCAACTGCTTCTTTGAACAATTAGTACTATCTTCAGATCCATTCATCCTCAGTTTCTTATGGTATTCAGCTGTGTCTTTACATTTAAGAACACAGCTCCATCTGTTCATTGGACTAAAGGAGTTTCTTCATTAGGAAGAAAGTAGAAAACTTACCCTGAGAGATGAGAGATCATCTTCTGCTTCAATGAAGTCTTGAATGGTATTTCCAACTGGGGTCAGCACACGGTCAATCACATGAACAACACCATTTGTAGCAATCTGGTTGCCATGGATGATTCTGGCACAGTTAACAGTAACAACCTAGCATTGAAGAATGATGCAAGAGAATGTTAAGCATGGACCATTTGGCTGTCTTTCCCTCAGAGGAAGCGTTACCTATCTTTCTTATAACTTACCTATGAGACATGCAGTATCTTCTGTGAAATGTTCTGGAAACAATCTAGCTAGCATATATTTGTGCAATAGAACTTACACCGACCTTTTACATTTTCAGCTGTATTGAACACCTGATAAAAATGATGGTTAGATAAACATGTGAGTTGTGTATTATGGACAGCTGTTGCCAACTCTGAGAATTTTAATAGGATGGATCTAGATCACTGGGACTCCATCTCCATCTGCCTGCATACTCTGCTAATATTCTTTTCCAAATCCAAGTTCTGCAAGCTGTGGTGCCCCAGTGGGGTTTTGATGTCTTTTAAGTATCTGGAAAACTGTGTTTACTTACCTAGGTCAGTGATGGTGAACCTGTGGCATGCATGCCTGAAGAGGCACGCTATCACCCCAGCAGCCATGTGCATATTCAGAAAGATTAAGGGCGCCAGGCAATGATGTCACTCGTTAGCCGTGATGTCATTCGTTAGCTTTCGCATGGCCAGTCAGTGAGCTGCCAGGGATTTTCTTGGACTGTGATTTTAGCAGAAGGTAGGAAAGGTAGGAAATACACTTGGCTGCCTTTTTCAGGGCCGGCCAAAAGCTGGTGGCCAGTGGAATGTTGCCCCCTTGTGCTGGTGGTCAGCAAATTCAGGTTTTATTGCAGTGTTGGCACTTTGCAATAAATATAAGTGGGTTCTGGGTTGCAGTTTGGGCACTCAGTCTCTAAAAGGTTCGCCGTCACTAACCTAGGTATTTTAAAACATATTTTGTTGAGATATAACACCAACACTTTTATGTGTTGGTTGTTTTGTCTGTATTTATTTAACCTGTTTTAATTGTGCAACCACTGTGGACTCTTTTACAATAGGCACTATATTCATGTTTTAAAAAGTCATTAATGACTTTTCATACTGATTTCAGTAGGACCCGCATTCAGGCAGCCAGAGCCAATTCAGTGTTTATAAAATGAAATTCTGTCTAGAATTATGAAATGAATAACTTTTTTTGCAAAGCTGTATTTATACAATAAATTGCACATGTTGTCCATTACGGCAGGGGTTAAAGTGAATGGTTTTATATAAGGAAAGATAAGTGAACAAACTTACACCATTGGGATAGTGATTTATATGCAGCTTTTGATTGTTATACATAGACATCAGAGACATGCCATTCTTGAGGTCCTTCGTCAGCATGCGTTTGTTTACCATGTGGCTATGGAGAGCATTGTACAGTTCAATGTTTACATTTTCAATCAGTCCACTGTGGATTTCCTGGGGAGCAGGAGGGGAGGAATTTAGTTAGTTTTTTCACACACACATTACTCCGGCCAGCTGCAGCACAGTTATCTGTCACGAGTGAAATAATCTTTTCTAATGTTCTTGAGTGCTAACTTCCCTTTCTGATAAGCTGTAGTACTTACTGTATTCTTACGCAACTTCATTTTGCTAGTCCTAATTGCAAATTCCATTAATCCATCCCTTATTGCATTTATATATTCTTTTTTCCTTGTAACAATTTGCTTTCTTTTACATGCATCTTTGTTCTTTCTTCCACATTTTCCCTATTCCAAGAAAAGCCTTCTCTACATCCAATAAAGCCACTCCTCCTATTCTTCAAATGTCACTTCATTAGCAAAGCCTTTCTTGCAAAGCTCTTTGATCTTTGAAATGACCTCTTCCAGGACATTGCTGAAAAGATTGAACAGGATTGGTCCCAGGACAGAACCCTGGTTTCGGTCACCCTGCTTTCGGTCAGTCAACCATGCCCTAATCCATCGGACAGTGCAATGGTCTATCTCAAAACTCCTCAATTTCTCAACCAAGATATCATGGGGCACTTTGTCAAAGGCCTTGCTGAAATCCCGGAAAACCACATCCACCACGTCCCCCTCATCTAGCCACCTCAAAACCTTGTCAGAATTCTGCAAGGTTCATCTGGCAAGTCCTGTTTTAGTAGAAGCCGTATTGTTTGGCTGCCAGCCTCCCCTTCCCTATCCAGGGTTTCTAGAGCTTTCCCTATTATGAGACTCTCCATCGGCTTTCCCAGAATAGACATAAGGCTATGTGGCCTTCATTTCCCTGTGTCTCCTCTACTACCCTTTTTGAATATGAGGACCACTGATGTCACCCTTCAGTCCTCTGGAACCTCACCTGTTCTCCATGAGGCCTCAAAAATGGAGGTCAACGGGCATGACAGAACCCACGCCAACTCTTTGAGGCTTCTCACTTTCTGACAGTAAAGGAAGCCCCTGTCAGAGGGGACCCACAAGTTTTTAATGCTACTTGTTGATTAGCCTATTTGGTAGGGATTGTTTGTTGCCACAACTGTATATTTTCATTACTTTGATAAGGTAAATCACCTCAGACTTTCTCCAATCCCTTCCTATTAATTTATAAATCTAACAACTTCTTTCCCTTAGGCCAGTGGTGGGGAAGTTTTTCCTATGTATTCCCTTGAGTTTAATTTACTTTCCAGGCATGTCTGGGTGACAAAATTAAGCAGGGCATCCCCGGTGTTCTCTTGCTCTCACTCTTTCATTTTTCTACCAGCCCCAACTTGCTCTCTCACTCTCTCTTCCCCTCTCTGTCAGCAATTCTCTCTCTCTCCTCCCTACCATCCAGGTTGCTGAGGGAGGCATAGATAAGCCGCCCCGAGGCTTTGTTGCGATGGGGGCGGCATAGAAATGTTTTAAATAAATAAATAAATCTCACTAGTGCTCTGAGTTGATGACTTGAGAGAGAGATTTTGAAATCAAGGTAAAGACACCTAGCTCTTTAAGGATCTTTCGTTCTCGTCCCCAAATGATCATTCAACGTGCACTGGAAAGAAAATAATTTCTCACCTGGTTCCCCCGTAACCTCCCAACTTAAGTGTGTAACACAGATGGTAATGGTAATTGTTCCACTCACTTCCTAAGAATAAGGATTATAGATGTAGAGCACACCTGCAGCTGTGTACACGTTGAACCAGAGACAGGGGCCATGCAAACATGCATGATCTCTAGACAAGGCCCTTTTATAGGTAATGCATGACCCTAACCCAGGCCTTAGGCTGTTTTCTCTCAATTTTCTCTGGTTCTGTCCAAAAACTTCTAATGTGTGTTCTGTAATACAGTATTTCAACTGAAGCCTAACAACTATTAACAAGGCAGTTTTCACTGACTTGAGCGTTTGATTTCGATGTTTAGGGTAGGCAACACCTACTGAAAGTTATTAGAAAGACCCAGCTTTCACTGTTCTACCCCATCCACCATATATTATGCCTGTAATATTGAACACAGTTAGGATTTTTCCTGTTTAATCTAACTAACCAGTGTAGTCCCTCCATTAAAAATTATTTATGCAACTTGGCTTATATGCAGCAAAATAACACTTTCAATATGCATATTGATATAGTTACACGATCCAAAAGATTCCAGGCTTCATTGCTTGGTGCAAAGAATGTGAAAGAGCCTTGTCCTTCAATTTCTTCTCTCAGTTTTGACAAGTCAGAGTATTGTTGTGTGGAGGTAGCTCCCACAATGCCCAAAGTGCCGTAAACATGATCTATTGGGGCAACTGAAAAAGAAAATAAATGAGCATACTGTCACGTCTGTTTATTTATCCTCTTTTGGTCCTATTTTTCCCCATCCAGTAGGAATTAGTAATGGGTTTGTTAAATTAAGTTCATTTTAGTACACTCAAATTAACATGTAATAAACTTTGGACAAACCGGGTACAAACAGCAGAGCTAAAAGAATACCCAAAGGAAAGGAATTATTCACTTAAGTTCAGTAGGGCAACTGTGAAAACTGTGCATTTTTTCCAAGGAAGCTACAGAACTAAGGTGCCATTAGTTGATTGGGTCCACTCAGGAGTATTAAACATGTACTTCTATAGAACTTTCCATCAGTTCATCTTACACATTACCCCATTCACATGCATTTATGTCCTTAAAAAAGGAGAGAGAAGTAACTACTTTTAGCATATGAATCTTCCTTAGGGTAATGCTTTCTAACATAATAAAGACCCCGAATGTGTTTCCTTTCTCCTTTCTCCTTTGCCCCAAGCCCCTTGCTTTGCAACCAACGGAAACAGCACGTTTAATATGTTAGCCTGGACATACAGTTCAGTAACACTACCTGCAGGGCATCCTTGCTTGCCTTCCATCTTCATGTAGCCAGGGCAGCATTCATACAAGACAGTTCTGCAGAAAAACAACACAAATATCATTTTGTTGTCCCAATTATTGTATTAATACATATAGAAGGTAGTTTAGAAGATTTCTACAAGCAAAGATAATAGAAGAAAAAACGAAAGGAGACAGTTGTAAAGGCCTGTAATTAACAGTTGGGAGGCCAAAGTCAAATGCTGAAAACAAGCTGAAATAAAAAAGGATTTGCCAAAGACTAAAGAGAAAGGGCCCTGGATTTCCATAAATAATGAGATTAATCATGGTGCTACTACTGAAAAACATCTGACTCTAGTACTCTGTCTATTATCGTGTAGGGATGGATGGGTCCAAAAGTAGAACCTATGATGCTGATCATAACCAGTAAGGGGCAAGAAGAAGAATGACCAAGCTTTTACAATGATGAATCCAGCTGGGGATAAAGAAAGGTTGAATCATATCCAGAAAAAACAAAGCAAAACAAAATACAGAAATACAAAAGTATGTGTAGCCGTCTGCTGGTTTGTTCCCTAACAGATAAAGGCAAACAGAAAGTTGATGTATTATACCAGATGAAGGCATACAAACTGAAATAATACATAAATCTGGGGGTTGTTTTGAAGGATGGCTAGTATCCAAAGCCTTTGCAAGCATTCATGGTAAAATCCAAAACATTTCTACTTAAACCAGTAGGTAGGTAGCTGCTTGTATTAAGCCATAGGCCATTACAAATTTACAATGCCACAAGATACTATTTAACAAAGGAGAACTTTAAAAGTTAATAAAAACTAGAATAGTTAAAAAGGGATAAAAAGTAAAAATGGACAAGTTATTTGCAAGAGCCAAACCCCTTTGAAACCTCCTTAGATCTTAACTTCTTATCTGCAAAAGCAAAGAGAGAAATTATGCATGACATGTGCATCAAGGTCTAATAAGAGAAGTACTGTTTTCTCAAAATCAGACCATGCATTTATAGCAGATAAGAAACCAGTAAAAAAAAATGGTCTCTTGGCTCTCTATATAGAGAGCAATAAATAGCGTAATGAGGAAAGTTCTGCCGTTTGAGGGATCCACATATACAGATGCAGTGCCCCACCTGAATTTGGGAGTATTGGCCAAACAGGAGAGCTGTATGCATTGTTTGCAGAGCCATAAAAGCCACCATAGGGTTGTAACTAGAGATGTTAACTAACTAGCTAGGTCTAAAATAATCATGCTTAAATAGTATCAAGGGGCTACTTTGGACTTTAAAACTGATGTTTGATCTATTAGGGCATCCAAATAGTAGATCCAATCCATGAGGTGAGAGTTGTCAGCTGTAGTCCCTAGAATAACATCAGGGATGGAGTAACAACAGATGGTGGAATTTAAACAACCAGAATGCTTGAAATCTTTTGATAATAATAGACTAAATGATTTCTGACCTAAAGAAGTGGGACAAGAGGAGATGTTTCTATTCCAATGTTTTATCACTGCTAAGTGTACACAAGCCCTAAAAGGAGGGGAGCCGTTTCACCTCTCAACAGGGCAGTCAAGGTACCCCTAGGGAGAGCAAGGATATGCCTTAGAAAGTGATTTTGGATTATCTCTAGGCTAGATAGAATATCCTCATTCCATTTCCATACTTTAACTCCATATCAGGGGTCACGAATGACCTTACTCTTAAACAGCTTCAGTGCTGGATCTATCAGGTGTCCACCCTTGGTGTGGAAAATATGCAGAATTGACCTACAGTCCTTAGTGTTTAGTGCTGTTGACCATTACCAGATTTTCCAATTCAAGGTATCCTTGAAAGTAACTCCCAGGTATTTAAAGCAGCTACATTGTTTAAGTGAATTACCAAGGATGCTCCAAGATGAAATTCTTGGCTTCCCTCCCTCCCCCTAAATACCATTACTTTGGCCTTTGTATAATTTATAGTAAGATCTTCCTTGTAATATTGTCCTAGTTGATGTAAAAGCCTTCTGAGGTCAATTTTGGTTTGAGAAACCAGGACCATGTTGCCAGCATATAGCAAAATTGATTTTTTCTGTTGACCCAATGATGGAGATGTAAATTGTGGTCCTTATAAACTCTCTATGATATTGTACTTAAACCAGTATGCCACTGGTTTGTGCTGTATGTACACAAATACATACACACAGGGTGGTTTTATGTTTTTGGAAATACTAGATGAAAAGGGTTTTGAAACAAAGCTGCCTACAAACAGCTAAGCTATCTCATACATCTTTCTCACCTTGAAAAAGGAGAGGTGTGTTAGAGGAGTTAAACATAAATTCTGTTGGGTCATAAGAACTTTCATTCTGTTGTCCTACAGCAGGAGAAAAGGCAGCAGAATACTGTTCTGTTACCCTTGTTAATTCTCTCCAAACCCTACTGTGCACAGGAGAGGGGCTCGGATCATACAGAATCACAGAGCTCACTTACTTTTTTCATTTGTGCGCTAAAGGTTCACTCTTTGAATTTCACATCCCTAAGACTCTTACGGTTTTCTGGATTGTGTGATTGTGCTTTGTTTTGCTTTTCAGATGACAAATTTGTCAGCCATATGGGAATTCCATCACAAGTGTCCTCAACTACAGTAGAGCTCTGTTGCTGCAAGGAGAGCTGTGTTACAGTTGGACCAGACAGCAGGTACTTCTTTTGCCAAGTATGTAAGGTCTCATTTAATGGCTGAGCTTAAAGGGCTGCAGATACTCTGCACTAAAAGAAAAATGCTTCCAGATTATAAATCTATATTTCTTTCTTGCAATAGTCTGTTCGTCTCTACACAATAACACAGGCCTTAATGCCATCCCTGAGCCAGGCACATTAGCCAACCGACTCCTATCAAGATGGTGCCATCAACTGCTGGCTGTGTCACTTGTGGTCTGCCACCCAGTCTGAGTAGACACTTACGCTTTCTTTCCACAGATGGCTCCTTGGTACCAGTTCCTGCATGTGCTGAAGTATTTCTTGTTGGTCCCCATAACTTGCTGGAGGGCACAAACATTTGGCCTTGAGTGGGGAAATAAAAGGAAAATATGAAAAGTCTTTTGTAGTTCTAACATTTTAAAGTGAGCAGACTCATTATAAAAAAGCAAAGCTTTGCAAGGCTACAACCAGCAATCTATTTCCTACAGAGTAATGCATTAAAGTCATTAGGACTTCTTCAAAAAGAAAAAAGTCAAGTTTGTAAAGGCTTTCTCACACAGAAAAGGTCTGAAAGATTTCTTTTAGGGGAATGAGCAGAAGAGTCCCCTTGGGATTTGAATGTAACCACATTTGCTAATTCTAGTTGCAAATGATTACCGATTTAGCTCTTCTTCTCAAAGGAGAAATAGTAGCATGGCTAAATTTATTTCACCTTCCAGCTGATTCCTAAGTTTAGTTCAAATTCTGCTCCCTGAACTTCATTAACCCTTGAATGGCTAAGTCTGGAGACATACAATTGTGTTTTATTTTGTAGAGTAAGACCCACTACTACCTGTGATGGGCAAGTTCATTGCACTTTAGGTTCGTAGGTTTTGTAGTGCTTCAAAAGCCCACAAAATTTATTGGAACATGTACAATACTGAACTAAATTAATTGAATGCGTATCAGTGGCTGAATTCACACAACATGACAACCCATACTTAAAGTGGAATGCAGGTTATTGTTGAATCATGAGTGTTGTTGAAACATGGATTATTATACTTTGTGTATCCAGCCATGCTAACAAACCATGGTTTCTTTATCATGAACAAACCACAGTTTCTCTTTGTTGGGTGTTTCTGGTTAACAAATCATTTATCACTTGTTAGCTTCGCTGGGTTCACAACACAACAACCCATGATTCAATGACAACACACACTCAGTCTTGTGTATGGGTTGCCATGTTATAAGAATCCAGCCAATATCTCTGTGTTTCCACCTTCAGCTCTTGTACAAGCTACTTCTTGCCTTCAGCCAAAATGTCAACTGTCCCAAGCAGTTTTGCTCTGAGGCAGTTCTTGGCATCATCCCACTTCTGGTCATTGTTCTGTATCCTTGGGAAGTAGGACCCTCCTGCTCAACAGCCTAGAAGGGAGGGGAACCTCTGACAACTGAGTTTGCTTTCACAAACAAAAGCATCTGCCCTGTTCCTTGATGTTTGCCCCTCATGGCAGGTCATCAAGGCAAGCGAAGAAAGGAATGCATTACTGGGTCCAGGAGATTCTGTATGGCTCTCTGACAAGTCTCATCAGAGGTCGCATCAGCTCCAGTCTTCATTAAAAGAGGTGGTGATCAGGCATCTCCAGAAGAAGGCTAGACTGGATCCAGAAGACATTAACTACTATAGGTCTATGGCCAACATTCCCTTCTTGGGTAACATGCTTCAGGGATTGCTGGCTGGACAACTTAAAACATAGAAAGTCAGAAGGGGTCTCCCAGGCCATTAGTCTGACTCCAGCTTCAACCAGCTCTGCTAATGACATGTGCTTACCATGTGCTTGTGCAGCCTATCCTTGAACACTCTCACTGATGGGGCCTCAACCACCTCCTGTGGAAGCCCATTCCATACCCTACGGGTCTAACTGTCAGAAAGTACTTCCTGGTATCCAAATACAATCTTGGTTCCTTGAGCTTGGCTCCATTGCAGCACATCCTGCCCTCCTCTGCAGGGAAGAACAGGTCTCTACCCACGTCCATGTGACACCCCCCATGTATGTTGCCAACAGATCCCCTTGGAGTCCCCTCTTCTCCAGGCTGAAAAGACCCTGTTCCCTCAGTCTTGCCTCGTATGGCTTTCCCCGCAATCCAGCCACCATCCCTGTGCCCCTATGCTACACTGTCTCTAACCTGGCTATATCCTTCCTGTAATGTGGAGCCCAGTATTGAACACAATACTCCAGTTGCGGGCGACCAGAGTCATATAGAGTGGTAGTAATACCTCTCTCGATCTAGAAGCCACACTTCTGGCTATGCAGCCAAGGGTGGCGTTCACCCTCTTGACCACTGCATCACACTGCTGGGTCATGTTTAGACAGCAGTCAACCAGTACCCCGAGATCACGTTCACAAGTGCTGTTCTCCAGCCACTTGTCCCCTAACCTGTACTTATGACACCCATTCCTATGCCCCAACTGCAAGACCATGCAATTCTTTGCACTGAGCGCCATCCTGTTGTCCACTGCCCACTTCTATAGTGTGTCCAGATCCTTCTGAATCTGGAGTACCTGCTCCTCAGTTGTGGCCACTGCCCCAATTTTAGTATCATCTGTGAATTTGATTAGCAGGCTTCCAGGTCATTGCTAAAAAGATTGAACAGGATTGGTCCCAGGACAGAGCCTTGGGGGACCCTGCTTGTCACTGGCAGCCATCCTGATGATTCCCCACTAATGGTTACCCTTTGCTTTTGGTCAGTCAACCATGCCCTAATCCATCGGACAGTGCAATGGTCTATCTCAAAACTACTCAGGTTCTCAACCAGGACATCATGGGGCACTTTGTCAAAGACCTTGCTGAAATCCAGATAAACCACATTCACCGTGTTCCCTCTGTCTAGCCACATCAAAACCTTGTCAGAATTCTGCAAGTTTTGTCTGGCAGGACCTGTTTTAATAGAAGCCGTGTTGTGTGAATTCCAGCCTCCCTTCCCTATCCAGGGTTTCTAGAGCTTTCCCTATTATGAGACTCTCCATCGGCTTTCCCAGAATAGACATAAGGCTAAGTGCCCTTCATTTCCCCATGTCTCCTCTACTACCCTTTTTGAAGATGAGGACCACTGATATCACCCTTCAGTCCTCTGGAACCTCACCTGTTCTCCATGAGGCCTCAAAAATGGAGGTCAACGGGCACAAGAGTACCCCCACCATCTCCCTAACTATCATCGGGTGAAACCCATTAGGGGCCAGCACCTTTGTTACATCCGGTGCCCTGAGATGCTCCTAACCTGTGCCCCTAAATCCCCAGCATCCTTATTGTTCTTACTGAATCTCATTCTGTTGCTTTGAAGTTTATCAAGGTCACCTTGGATCTTGATTCTGTCTTCTAGGGTGTTTGCTATTCTACCTAGTTTTGTATTATCTCCAAATCTGATTATCTTTCCTTGTACTTCCTCATCCAAATCATTAATAAAGATGTTGAAGAGCACTGGACCCAGGACTGATCCCTGTGGCACCCCACTATTTACCTCCATCCAGCTTGAGAATGTTCCATTGATTAGTACTCTTTGTGTCCAATTTAGCAGCCAGCTTAGGATCCACTGAATGGTTTTTCCAGGTAGTCCAGTTTTTGCTAATTTGCTTATCAGAATGTTGTGTGGCACTATGGCAGTGCTTTAGGTTGGTAGTGTTCCCTCTGTCTATTTGTGAGGTTACCCAGGCAAAAATTGAGATTAGTCTGACAGGATTTATTTTTTATAAATCTATACTGGCTTTCGTTAAGCACTGTATTTTCTTCAAGATGCTTGCAGACTGACTTTTTAATAATTTGCTCCAGATTTTTTCCAGGGACTGATGTCAGACTAACTGGTATATAGTTCCCAGGTTCATCTTTTTCCCCTTTTTGAAGATAGGGACAACATTAGCCCTTCTCCAGCTGAGGGGCACTTCTCCTGTTTTTGAAGATTTACCAAAGCAAATAGCCAGTGGTTCTGAAAGTTCCTCTGCTAGCTCCTTTATGACTCTGGGATGGAGTTTATTGGGCCCTGGAGATTTGAAAGTGTTTATTCCACCTATGTATTCCTTGAACTTTTGTCAGTCTTGGGCTGCCATCTCTCACTTCCAGCTTGTGTTTCCTCCTGATTGCAGATTTCCCTGTGGGAGGAGACTGAGGTGAAGTTGGAATTAAGTGCCTCTGCATTTTCATTGTCATCTGTTATCACTCTGCCATTCACTTCAAGTATCTGGACACCCTTCTCTTTCTCATGTCTTTTGTTCTGGATGCATCTGAAGGAGGCTTTCTTGTTCTTAGCATCTCTTTTGATTCTCAGTTCATTTCTTGTTTTAGCCTTCCTGATTCCTTGCTATTCCTTGCTATTTGTTTATATTCTTCCTTCTTGGCCTGGTCCTGTTTGCACTTCCTGTTTTTTTTTTTCCTTTCAGGCTGTCCTTAACCTTTTGTGGAGCCACATGGGCTTCCTCTATTGTCTCCTCCAGTTTTTTCTTGATGGAATTGTTTGTAGTTGTGCTTCGGGATTTTCCTTTTCAAGATTTCTCACCCCTCTTGGACTCCTTTCCCCTTAGGATGTGTTGTCATGGCACTTTGCTTATCATTTTTCTGAGTTTGTTAAAGGTGGCTTTCCAGAAGTCCAGAATGCATGTTTGGCTCCATTTACCTTTATAATTGAAAATTCAAAGCATCACATGGTCACTTTCCCCCAGAGTTCCCATGGTTGTTATTTTGTCCACCAGACCATCCTTGTTAGTTAGTATTATTTTGAGGATAGCTGACCCTCTTGTGCCTTCCTCTACTTTCTGCTGGAGAAAGTTGTTGGCAACACATGTCAGGGATCTCTTGGAGGGGGCCTTCCTGGCAGAATTTATTTTGTTTTCCAGCCTGTATCAGGGAAATTGAAGATCCCCATGATGACTACATCATTCTTCTTGAAAATGTTAGCAAGTTGCTTTTCAAAAGTTGCATCCGTGTCCTCTTTTTGACTGGGTGGTCAGGAAGAGACACCAATAACTATGTTTTCCTTATTTTTTGCTTCCTTTAAATTAAGCCAGATGCTTTCAGTGGGGCTTTCAGAAGTTCCTCCTCCTTCATTTTAGTGCAAATATATGTGTCTCTTACATATAGTGGAACTCCACCTCCCTTTTTGACTTCTATTTTTCTTTAACAGGTTGTAGCCATCAATTGTAGAGTTCCAGTCATGTGAGTCATCCCATCAGGTTTCATTTATTCCTATAGGATCATGATTGCCCTCATGTACTATGAGCTCAAGTTCATGTTGTTTGTTTCCCTTACTCTGGGCATTGGTGTAGAGACATTGAAGTTCATTCTTGCTGTGTTCTGGTTTTCCTCCTACATTTTTTGAAGACTGGTGTTGAGCTCTGCTTGAGGTTTTTTCTCCCTTGAAATATATAAGTCTTTGCCAGGTGATGGTATGCCGTTCTGCACATCTCCCACCTCTACAGGTTTTAGTTTAAAGCTCTCCTGATCTGCTTCCCATTTCTTGTGGTTCCAGAATCCAAATCTCTCTTTACGGCATTGCCATCATAGCCAGTCATTCACTTGAAGGATTTTTCTTTCCCTAACAGTTCCTTTTCCATGTCCTGGTAGGACTGAGGAGATGACTATCTCGGCCCCAGTGTTTTTTATTTTCCTTCCTAGAGCTTTGATGTCTAATGTTATTTCATCAAAGCTTCTCCTGGCAGTATCATTATCATTAGTTCCCACAGGGAAGAGAAGGAAGGGGTATTTGTCAGTGCGTTTTCAGTGCGTTGTAGGAGTTTTTTGAACTTCTTGGTTATATCTTTAATCTTGGCACCAGGGAGACAGCACACTTGGCATTTCTCTGCATCATCATGACATACATAATTTTCCATCCCGTGCAAGATGGAATCTCCCACAACTAGCACTCTTCTCCTTTTGTTCTTGCAAACTTTGCTATCCTTTCCCTTTCTTGATTGGCCTCTTGTCTCTTTTTCAGAGTTATTCAGTGTACCATGTAATTCTTTTACAGTCGGCCCATTTCAAGGCGCTCACATTAATGTATAAAGCCCTAAAAGGCTTAGGACCTGGACATCTTAAGGGACATCTCCTTCCATATACACCTACCTAGACCCTAAGATCATCAACGGAGGTCCTTCTCTGAGAACCACCTTTAAAGGATGTAAGGAAGGTGGCTACAAGGGGAACGGCCTTTTTGGTAATGGTACCTCTCCTGTAGAATCAGCTCCCCAGGGAGGTGCACCTGGTCAAAACCTTTTTATTTAGCCATCATTTTAACTGCTGATTAGAGGTTCTGTTTTAATACTGGTTTTTATTTGAATAACAATAGGTTGCTCTGGTCTAATATATATTATGATTCTATTTCTTGTTATGATAGTTAATTTTGGTATTTGGATATGATTTCTTGGAGGATGTGCTACCTTATTTTAGTAATGATTTAAAAAATATTCTGAGAGTATATGCTGAAGAGAACAGACTATAAAAAACACTGATAAATAATAATAAATAATTAAAAATGCCTCTCTAAAATCTTAATGATTAGAATGGCAACCATTTTTTCCTGGCACAAGTTTTCACTATGTTTGGTGTCACCTTGCTCACAGCTGTATATTGAAGATAGATGTGCAGTTATGCATAAACATTTTGTTTCCTTTGCTTCCCACAGGAAACTTTTCTGCATTTCAATATGCTACTTTGATTGGCACTGTTTAGAACACCACAAGAGCACTTAAAACCCTACCTTGAGACAAAAGGTAGGAACAGCACGCCATTTGGACTTAAAATACCACATCTTTATTTTTATTTTAAATGTTATATCAACTCCACAACATGGGCACAATCCAGTGAGAAATTTTCTTGAGTGAACCTCATTGAAATGAAGGTGAACTATGCAACAGCAAGTCACTTACATTACAATGGAACTTGTGTAGGATAATTTTCTAGTTCAACATGGTGTCCTGTTTTCTTTTATGGCAGCTTCAACCAAAAATATTGTGAAATATTTTAGATGCGAAAACATTTAATTTTGTAACTTTCTCTTACAAAATCTTTGACTTTTAACATTTTATCATTTCATACACACAAACTGGATTATATGAGCATGCCATTTTTAACAGGACAGAATATCTCATAAGCATCTGATATGCAGTGTTAACCAATGTGATTATTACAACATGGCTATAGCTTACACAATATTCATAAGCATATAACTGAGCATTCCAAGTTTAAAAGACAAGTTCTTCTTTCAAAATGCAACACAAACAAATAGAATGCTTGAGCATGTTTAGGGGAACAACTAATTTAGTGTGTCTTATTGTGAATCTGAAATTAGAAACTAATTTCTAAAGGAAAAGTTGCCAGGGCTCACAATGGCATGGAAATACTCTCCTTTAATTTGGCAGCCTACCCCCAATCTCTGATTAATGTCGCTCCTACTCCATAGTAAGAGAATTGTTCTTGAACCTGCATGCATTTTTTAATATGTTCTAGGGTTCAGCTTTAGCACTGAAACCAGATGCTTACTGAGATCTGATGAGCACAATCTAAGCCTTCTTGAAACACCCTTAGGCATGTTAAATGAAAAGTATGTTTATATTTATTTCCTGTTTTTATTTTGTTTCAGCATTCAGCTATTTTATCCAATTAATAATCTTCAAACTTTTTGTGCACTTTTTTCCCCTAAAAGAGTTGTTTAAAAACATAGCAAATATGTTTGTAAGAGCACATGCAAAGCTCTCATTATTGGAACAGTCTACTTTCTCTAAATAATAACTTCAGTTACAGAAACGAGTTCCATTTAAAGCTCCAGTTTCTTGTGGAGATAAAATGTACTTACCCTTGATCTCGTGCCCTGATCCGGCTGTGGGTCAAAATCTTGTCATAATGAGCAGCAGAAGATTCTGAAGTAGGGCAATGGGACAGAAAATAAATGGTGATTGTAGCAACCAGAAGGCGCTCCATCCTTTTGTCCTTTTCTTTCTTCCCCACTAGTCTGAAAAGAGAACTGGCAAAAGGTTTTGGAGATCTCACACTTTATATACATGCTACAGTGCTGTGGGAGGGGAAAATGTATCAACCTGAGACTTCAAATTACCCTCCCAGAAACAGGAACATTGTTTTTAATCAGCTTTGCATGAATATGAAACACAACAGCAGCCTCCCTTACTTGCATCTCTATAAGAATATATGTATCATGTTTCATGAATATAGATTCTGTTTCTACAACATTTTACCCCCTTTCAGCCTCAGTGAGCATTTGAAGTGTTCAGAGAAAGTGTACTGTTAACTATTGCAAGACATTCTTAATGTTGAAAACAGAACAAATCTTTAAAGCACTACCCTGAGGATTTAACAAAACATTGTGAGCCTAACCATATCCTTCTCCTGGAGATCACTTGGTATAATTTTCATAAAAGAAGGCAAAACTGTTTTAGATGCTCAGAAAGGCTTCACATGAAAGCCGCAAGAATTCTTCTCTGAAGAACAAATGCATGTGTGCGTTTGCATGTGTGCATATATACACACAGAGGGAAAAATTCAGTCTTTTCCCTAACACTCTTGTTTTCTATGAAAAGAAAAACCTTTCTTGAAGGAACATCAAACTATGTAAGCCTCCACCTACAGTCTGAAGTGGTACCTTCCAGAAAAAAAAAAAACTTATTTCTTTACTTGCTATGCCTTGGTCTCTGCCCCCAGCAAGGTATACTACACTACCTGTTTATACGCAGTTTTTAGTTCTCCCATTAAGTATTATTTGCACCCTCCATAAAATCACAATTTAACAGTATAAATAAACAGCAAGATCAAGGAAATACTTTTTTTGTACCATATCAGGCTGCAGGAGGGGCTAGTGATCACTATTCCTGCACACAGATGATCAGCAAGTTCACACTAGAGTTCTCCCTAACATGTTATTTGTGTACAATGAATATCTTTTCTGAAGGGAGCATTAATCATGTAATCTCTTCCCTGCCCCTCAACCTGAAATGGTACATTCTAAAAAGAGTTTTTTTTCTACTTTGTTCAGTGTACGCATGAGTCTATTTCAACACAGGCAATAAACACCTGGAGGTGGGATCCAGGATCTGCCTTCCACAAAAAGGAAAGGGTTTTCCATGACAGGAAGGGCTGAACTCCCCATCTGATTTTAGGGGATTTCCCCTCTCTGCAGTACAGTTCATCCCGTTCCACATGAATTTTCAGGGGGCTAGATTGCGGGAAGAAATATCAACAACTTCAGATCCGCAGATGATACCACTCTAATGGCAGAAAGTGTGAAGATGAACTAAAGAGCCTCTTGATGAGGGTGAAAGAGGAGAGCACAAAAGTTGGCTTGAAACTCAACTTTAAGAAAACTAAGATCATGGCATCCGATCCTATCACTTCCTGGCAAATAGATGGGGAAGAAATGGAGATAGTGACAGATTTTATTTTCCTGGGCTCTCAGATCACCACCGACGGGGACTGCAGCCAAGAAATTAAAAGACACTTGCTCCTTGGGAGGAAAGCTATGGCAAATCTAGACAGCATACTAAAAAGCAGAGACATCACCCTGCCGACAAAAATGCATATAGTCAAGGGTATGGTTTTCCCAGTTGCAATGTATGGCTGTGAAAGTTGGACCATAAGGAAGGCTGAGTGCTGAAGAATTGAGGCCTTTGAATTGTGGTGCTGGAGGAGACTCCCTTGGACTGCAAGGCAATCAAACTGGTCAGTCCTAGAGGAGATCAACCCTGACTGCTCTTCAGAAGGCCAGATACCAAAGATGAAACTCAAATACTTTGGCCACCTAATGAGAAGGAAGGACTTACTGGAGAAGAGCCTAATGCTGGTAACAATTGACGGCAAAAGAAGAAGGGGACGGCAGAGAATGAAGTGGCTAGATGGAGTCACTGAAGCAGTCGGTGTGAGCTTAAGTGAACTCCGGGGGGTGATGGAGGACAAGAAGGCCTGGAGGAATGTTGTCCATGGGGTTGCGATGGGTTGGACACGACTTTGTAACTAGCAACAACAGAAGGGGTGCATTGTGAATAAATGGAAGGTAAATCCATTTGCCATTTCAATCAGATCCAACCTAAGAGGTGTATCCTAAGCTGCAAAGACTTAAAGATCCATAATATCCTTGGAAGACTTTGAGAAGAGATGGTGAGATTAATTTCACCAAGGCCATTTTAAGAGTGAGTGGAAGAACAATCATTTAATTACAGGATCCATAGCCTTCATGTTAGAGGAGAGAAGCTTCCAGGTCATATGGCATTACTTTCATTATGTGCATGAGATGACCAAGCTCCCTTCTAAATAATGTTAGTGCACTATTCTACCTTACCAAGATTATGCAGAACAAGCTCTCTTTCCTCTGGAGGGCAGGTGATTGAACAAGCAAGCAAATGTTGAGAAGGCTAGGACTCTGCTCCTGGCTTCTTGCTCATGCACTCCCTTCTCCCTCCAAGCAGTGGTGGAGCAATACGTTAATTATGTGAATTACCAGAAGAGGTAATACATACACCAGAGACCTATTTGCTTGTGTCAATTCATATGCATAAATGCAAATATAGAAATGAATGTTGTAATTGAAATACAAACGTAGAACATCTTGCCATAGCATAGAATTCTGTGATCAGGTGATCTGCATGCCTTGCTTACTCTGCTGTCCAGAGATTGTTCATGGGCAACTTCCAGGCTCCACTCCTCTTTTGGTGGCTCTTGATCTGTGAAATTTTCAGCTTAATTATATGCAAAGGGGAAAAATGTATCTCAGTGCAGATTTGTATCTCATTGCAGAAATGTATCTCAGTGCAAGATGAGGTACACAGAAAAAAACCTTTAAATGTATAAATAAAACTAAACAGAATGCCATGTGCTTTAATTTTAAAACCAGAACAATAAAAACCAGTTGTCAGGCAGAGATGTATTAGTTAAATTTTCTGTTGCATTCACATTTTTTTAAAAAATTACATATTCTTTCTCTCCTAAATACAAACCATGTGTATATAAATCTGCCAAAGTCAAGACAGTGCATCTGATGGAGACATTTGCCTGTGCCTACAAAATGCCTGAATAAATGTGTTAAAATGCTTCAAGTTTTCTGCTGTGTATGCTTGTCAGTTAAGCAAAAGGGAAAGAAAGAATTATGGTTGAGATGTGTGGATATCAGCAGGTTAAGAAGACATTTAACTTAATTAAATATATTTGTACAGAGGACCAGTTTTTTATTGCTTTTGGTAGGAGCTGGTTTGGGGCCTTCATGTGCTCACTGCTTTATGTGTTTGCTTCCCTGAGAAATGGCAGTATTGATGACCTCATGAGATAGTTAAGAAAGAAAATGAATAATGGTAAAGTCCTTTGCTATAGAATTTGCCATGATTTCATATAGCGTGGTGACTAAATCTAGCCCCTTCACATATTGAACGCAAGTACTTGGGGCTTGAGGGGGTTCAACTGAATTGTCTTCTCCTCACACCTGATATTAGCATATGTACCTACCATTTTTCAGCAGCTGCGTGATGCAGACAGAGGAGAAGGGGCCTGTGTCTTGTTATTCTTGTTAACTTCGATCAGTTACTACCAGCAGTTCTTTGGAGACCTCTAGTGACAAAAATCTTACAAATATTTTTGTTCAACTTCTTCAAGCAAGATCCTTGAAGTTCCTTAGTTCGTTACATCCTCTTTGTACATCAGTGTGTAACTCTGTAAAACTTTACTTTTTCCTATACATTTAAAATGCACATTTTGCCTAATACACATTTTATAGCAAGCTTATATAATACTTTTTGGTGTGTTTTTTCAACAATATAAATTGCATTTTTGTGTGCACATTTGCTTGATATATGCAAGTTTGTATGCTGTTTTGTTTAGCAAATTTCACTTCAAAACTCTGAAAGTAAAATGTTCTAAATGAATGAAATTCTCCCCAATCCTTAAATAAATTTTCCTCACATTTAACCTGTACACTTGCTCGAATGTATCTTCAACCCCAGTCTTTCCTTCAGGAGCAGCACCAAAGATCTTCATCCAACAATGTCAATGTTCCTTTCATATCCATGTATAGATTTAAACATCCCTTGTATCTGCATCTCTCAGCCATTTGACTTCTGCTTGGTAAATATTTTCTTCCCCAGTTTGGCATCCCACCTCAGCCTTTGAGCAACTCTGCCCTTGATGAGACCAGACAACTCTCTCTTCCAAGTCTTGTTTCCTAGGCCTCTTAATTATAGATTAATCTGACATTAAATTTCATCCCTTTTTTTTTAATCAGTGGGGTTTCAGGTTAGAGTGGGACATTCCCTTAAAGCAAATAGATCAATAGCAATATATATTGTAGGTGCATGGCAGCAGTGTGGGTCAGGATTGCTGCGTATTGGAAGAGATAAAGCCTTCCTCCCATGCTAGGGCCCCAATCTGTATTGGAATCTGTGTTTTTATTGTAGACTAAAAAGACATTAAAAAAAAGTTGGCTACTGTAGCCTGAAGTTCATCATCATGTTCACAGAATGGGTATTGCAGGCTGAAACTACCTTGAGGGGGTCAGACTGGATTGTCTGGGAGACCCCCTCTGATTTGCTATGTTTTCCCCAAGACAGTCAGGTCTTTTTCTTTTTCTTTTTAAATCAAACTTTGGCAAATTAATAGAAGTGCAAAATCCATACCTTGGGTAGGAGCCAGGAATCTGAGGCTCAGTCCAGACAAATTGAAGGTGCCTTTAGTGACTAGTCTGCCCTTGTGAGTGGTGCTTGTTTTAGAAAGGATTTGTTCTCCCTAAATGAGCAGGTTTGCAGGCTGCCGTAACTCATTAATTCACCTTTTGCCACCAGTAGCACAATCTATGTGGCTCTGAGCGCCTTGTAGGAGTTTATGTTGGCATGCTAGCTATGACTGTACCTGGACAGGGGGAAGATTGCTTTTTGTTTGCTGAAGAGTACAGTACAGTATATGGACCAATTCCTGTAAGATTAATACAGCATATGACATAATTTTGTTCCCAACATTCAGTTGCAAGTAGTAAT